ACCAAGCAGCCTGCGGAGTTTGACATATGGCTATGCGTTGCGGCAGGATTTCAGTTGCATTTAGCTCGGCTTGCGTGCTTGTACAAATGCTATACACGCATGTCTTGAGTGGGCACGGTTCTTTTGATAATCGTGTGGGGTTTTGCTTTGCTGTTTGCCTCCCCCGAGCCCCTAGAGGAATAAGCGCAAAGCTGCAGTGGTTTATTGCCTTGCGCTGTGGATCTGGATATTAATACCAGATGTCCTCATATCACCTCTTCCAAGGTGTTTTGACATCTAGGGTATGTATTTTGTGCAGGGATGGCCTCACACGATACCCGTGAAGAATACCATGCACTTTCCAAGGTCCTAATCAGTGACCTGCGATGTGGCTTAGTGTGGTCACGGTTGCCTCCTTCTTGGTTTTGTGTGTGTGTGTGTGTGATGTGCTGTTTGCGATACGGCTTTTGCTACGGCGCCGGATTACGCGCAACAGCATTTGCACCTGGGGGTCGAGTCAGATTTCTGCTCAGCCGAGCGTGAGGTGTACCTTGCGGTTAGAGCATACTGACCTTCTCTGGTTTTCCCCCTCCAGCTTTTGATTAGATGCAAGCCAATGGGCTGCGTCCGACTCGGACTCTACGCCCCAAATGAGCGATACCTTCCCCGGTGAACAGGCATCTGCGACCCAATTTCCGACCAAGCCGCCCCTGCCAGGTCCGCGACCAGGAAGCGGCTTCGACAGGTCACGCCTCTCACCAGACGAAACATTGTAGCTTTCGCTACTACCTGGTCCCACTGAGATGGATGCGGGACATTGCAGGCAAGTTTCAGGACGAAACAGACTTGCACGTGAGAGCCAACGCTAACATGGGGCTGGCTTCCAGGGCAAGTGCTGTCGGCTGCGTGCGCGTGGAGGCGTTCGAAGACCCAACTACAAAACACCAGCCTGTTAGCCGATTCCGTCTTGTCAGCTGCAGGATGAGGACGGCATGACGCGAGGCATTTGTAGAGGGTTGCTGCCATATTTCCTGTCAGCTGGCACTGGACAGCATTGCCGGTGGGGGCACAGCGGCAATCGACCGTGCCTGCACCAAGTCCTTCAGCCTCAGCTGAGCGGATCTTATTTGCTCTTTCCCGGCCAGCCTGATTCTGATGTGTCACCTAGCCGCCCTAGCCGATGCCGAGATATGCCGAGCAGCTCTTGGAGCCTTGCTGCACGGCGAGTTGCAGCCCCCGACAGAATCGCGGCACTTGCGGCCAAGAGCTGGCCAGGGCCACCTCAAACTGCGAAGGTGCCAAAGCAGCGCCTAAAGTCCTAAAGATCCTGGCTTCCTTGCCCGCAAGATCTCGCAAGATCTTCCGACCGTGCCAGGCCTTGGACGCAGCAAGGCCGTATCGCCTGGCCGCCGAAGGAAACACGTTCTGAACTAAGAAAGTCCCCAAGCCGACGCCTCGATGCGCTCTTCGACCGTCTCGCCCTCCGAAGCCTGAGAATGGGGAGCACAGACGGTATCCCACACTGTTCTTTGACCCCCTGATGCTGCAAGTGCACAGTTCGAGACTGCTGAAGACCGAGAGTTGGAAGGCTTCCTCTTCGGCCCATGTGTTTTTGGGCTTTTAGGGTTTGCTCACAGTGGCAATTTGCGGGAATGGCTGCAGAGTGGCAGCTTGTTGGGAACCCCGAGCCTGTCAGACACCCCCCGTCAGCACCAAACTGACAATGGGGAGGCCATTGAAGTGCAAGGAGCGCAGTTACGGGAAAAGAATCTTCGAAGAAACATCGAGCAAACCTGCGGCAAACCTTTGCAAACATGTAGCGAAGTGGTGGGCCCTGATTAGGCGGTTAGGCAGTTCTTCAAGCCGGGCCTGGCTCAAGAGGTCCGTTGGCGGCCCGTCATCCACGATCTCCAACGCCTGCACATCCTCAGTCCGACTTGCGTCGCTTGCGCAGCAAGCTTCGTTCCAAGCATGTCCAGCGCCTAGCTAGGCTGTCTGAAGCGCAGTTGGCACTTTCGTAGGAACCGCTCAGCTGCTTCCTGGTTTCGATATGGATGTCCGAGCGCCAGTGCTCCCGGCTCTTGATAGCAAAGAGCTCCTTCAAGTGCCAGGAAGGAACGGAGGCGTGTGTCATTGCTAGCATCGCATCGCTGGCCCAGGTGCAGGGCCTCCAGCAGATGTGGTAGAACCCCAGGCTGGTCTGCAGAGCCACACCTGCAATCGGGACTGCAACCCAACTCAACATCTGCAGTAAAGATCACGACCCAATGCAAGTTGCAGCTTAACCGAAGCCGATGACAGTAGCATACAGGGTCAATCAGACAGGATCTGGCAAGACAAGCCCAGGTACAGCGTGAAGCTCTTGCCAGCACCACGCTGCCCACAAGCAATGACCTCAATCAAGCGATTTTTCGTTTACTTCCGTCAGCATTGAGGGAGCGTGTGCAAAGAGCTCCAGGAGGCTAAACCTAGATGGAGCTGCTCTGCGATCTGCCTCAGCACATGGGAACCGCAGCAAACTGCCACATGCTCTTTGCATTGTCGGTATGACGACGGCCTCAGCATGGAGAGAACACTCAGAGCAGGCCGAAAGAAAAAAACTGAAGAATTGAAGTCCTGACGACATGCTGAAGCAAAGTCTACGAGCTGAACTAACTCATCTCCTCAGAACAACGGCGCCGCACAGCAGGCGAAGCCGTGGCAAAAGGTTGCTGCGGGAGCAAGGTACAGCAGCCCAACAAGACAGCCGCCCCAACATTGGCACGCTGCAGCAGCAGCACCACCAGCGGCAGTTGCGGCAGCAGTTGCAGATATCAGTAGTAGTGGATGAGGAGGAGCAGCACGAACAAGTACCATAGCACTAGATAGACTAAAACCACAAGCAGCAGCAACAGCAGTGGGGTGGCAATAGTAGTATGCCTTAGTATGCATACTATACCTCCGATGCTATGTGCAAGCGTCTTGGCAGCCTTTGCTGTTCCTGAGCCGATCACGCTCCTACCGTTCGGCCAAGCCGCCGCCACATTGCCTCCGTCGATCGCTGCTTGCGCCAAGCCCAGGAGCTCGGTCGAGACCTCCGCCTGACAGCTTTCAGACACGCCGACAGAGCATAGAGGGCAAAGATCACAATCGATGGCAGCAACTTAAAGTGTGGTACCGTTGCATGAATGACATGTACATCGCGCCAGTGGCAACTCGGGGTTTCGGCTACCACCCTATGTGGTCCATGCCTGGGTGCTTTCCGGGCCCAATACAGCGCTGAAGTCGCATGTGGCATAGGTGCCGCTCGCCAGTGCCACCTCCAAACACACGGAGTGCTTCGGCCATGAACCTATAATAAGACACAGGACTGTGGATTGGCTAGCGCGAGTAGGGAACTGATACAGGACTAGGACATACTAGGGCCGAAATACCGGCAACGGCTTCATCTCAGGAGCCTCCAAAGTTCGGCGATCGACTCGCCTGCGATCAGACAGTGAGGATATGTTGATCTTTTTTGGGCTCTGGTAGACTGATAGAGCTGATGAGTTGATACACCTTTCTCCAGAGCCCTAGGTCCGAGGTCCGCCCTTTCTGTGACTGCATATCAAGCTCCACTGCAGGCCCGGGCCAAACACCGCACCTCAAGACAGGTGCGAGGCCCGCGTGGCTGCGCAGCGCAGTCTGCAGCTCTGGGGCCAACGGAGGCCGCACACGGCAAACGGTGCGTAAACCGCCTCGAGAAGAAACTCGACGAGGCTTTGTCGCGACACGTGGTAGCTCTGCTGCCACGTACAAGCATGAGTGGTGAACGGCATGGTTCTGGAAATGGTGAGCGACGTAAACCCGATCCCACCCTCCAGCCGGGCGACTTCGCTTCTCTGCAAGGCTGTAGCGCAGCTCCTGCCTTTCGCGATCCAGGTCCTCGGTAGCTGCTTTCGGGTCGATAGCCGTGCCTTGCGAAGCAATCTGACATGGAGGGCACGGGTTGGAGGCGGCAAATATGGCAACTCAGTCTCAGACACGAACACTCCGACTCAGTTTGCCAGGCTAAGCTCGGTCTGTTACAGTCAAGACTGGGCCAAGACTCTGTCAGCACACTCAGGGCCAGCCCATGCTGATGTGCCCGTTTCAGCAGCTCCTTGGCTGATCAAACCTTGCCACGACTCAAAAGTGCCACAGTCTCTCCAGCACATGCCTTGCGTTTAAAGGCCTGCGAACACCGGAAAGGCAGCAGGTCCCACGACGGCACCGTCATCAAGTGCACCGCAAAGCAACAACAAATGCTTGAGTTAGTGTTCGGAGCCTCAATGAAAGCCAACCGGAGCAATACCCAGGCACCTTCGCAAAGTTGAGGCAATTAAACACAATTTAACCCACAGGCTCGACTCCTGACTCCTGACTCTACGCAACTCCACTGCTTCAAAACTTCCCCCAGCGCATCGCAGAGCTGTGTGGATGCCGGCAGCAAGCGCCCTTGATCCACCCCAGCCTGGCCAGGCTAGGATGCTCGATGCAGAATCGCACTGCCTTGGCCTGAAATCTGTTATGATGAGGAGTACTACCATATCCAATGGCTGATTACTTGCAAAACTTCAAAAAACAACTTTGGAAACGAAGCTATAAAGCTCTCCCTCGAAGTGCGGCTCAGGGAACATCGATGTGTATCCTTCGGGTAGCCTTGAGCACTCGTCTTGTGCACTGCATCTCGAACTGCACACACCCCGCTTCAAAGGCATTCAATGTTACAAGCTGTCCCTAGCTACGTACTGTCCTCCCTCGACAACAACACTGAGACATGTTGTATACAGTGTATGCTGTAAACGGCAGGGGGAATAACAGCATGTAGTCAACAAAGGTCCTATCAAACCTGATACTAACACAAGAACAAAGCTGCTCCCTTTCAGCCTCTTAAGCCTTTTGCATCAGGACTTGGCAATCGCCTGAGTATCATCACATACCCTCTGCACTTAGCCCTAAGCCAGAAACCCCTGAGCTCCTTCAGAGACTGCGTAAGAAGAACAACAACAACAAAAAGCAGGTAGCATCATAGCTACCAGTCACTAGTCACCGCTAGCCATCGCCGCAACAATATGTCGTAGCTACTGACCCCCTGGGTGCCCGGCATCTGCACAGTCTGCGATGGCACGGCGCAGGGCACGGACGTCCCGTGCCGCGGCAGCTCGCCGAAGCTGCTCCAAAGCCTGTTCCGCCTGTCATCGGGCAGAGTAGAATAGACCCTCGGCTTAGCAATGCCATCGTACAATATTGTGGCTGTACTACTCACTCTGGGCTCATTTAATGGATGTAGGCAGTACAATATACCTGGCAAGACTCCAAGAAGTGCCTTTGCGTTGCAGCCGGCTTTCAGATTCAAGCCCTCGGCCAAGCAGTCATGAGCTCAATAGCCAGCAGTCCCACAGCAGGATGTCGTTGGTACCCAAGAAGACTCCCCGACTGTTTATGAACGTTGCCCGAGGTCTGCCTCACTCCACGCATGCCTGTCACAGTCTGTGCTTACCCTCGGTTACTCGGCCTCTCGCTCCTCCTGCAAGACAGCTTCTGCCTCCAATCGACAGCATGAATACGCGCACAGAATGGGGTGTCCACAGTGGGCACAGCGCAAGGGGCCTTGCTAACCTCCTCCTTGGCCACGCCGGCACGACGAGCTCGGGCGATGGCCAATCGCAGGAGGCCCGCCTCTTCACCAGCACACACGCTGATCTCTGTCCCAGCTTGAAACTGCTCCCGGCCTGTGGAGGCTCCTGGAACATGGCGGCACGCAGGGCAATGACGGCACGTTCCTGTGCGTGTGGGAGCTAGCAAAAGGAGACGTTTGGCTCCTGCTGTGCATACACCCTATAAAGCCTCCTGCGCGGGAACGGGAGGCGCCGAAGAAGTCGAGACCACCGGCGTGCCCAAGGCCAGCGGCGCGAGGACGTCGGAGCGTTCCAAATCCACAGGCTCGCTCGAAGTCGCTCGGGATGCAAGCCTACGGGCATGCGTGGCTTTGCTGATACAGTGACTGACAACAGTCACAATTGTGCATGAAGCAATGCAAGGTAATGTAAGCACAAGAGGGAATGAAAAGGAAAGATTTGCAAGATCAAGACCCAAACTACGACGGCAACCTCCAGATTGAGCCCGGAAGTAGTTGCAGAATTGGCTTTGTATTCTGTTGGGCATACGGACTCCAACACAACAGCAGGCAGGGCCTGAGGCTGCTCGGTCGACGTGCTTCGCTGGTGGTCGATACCACTGCTGCCTGCTTCTGAGGGGTCTGCTGCACCACGTGTCGTGCAGAGCCACTTCTTCCAAGACGCTTGTGCAGAAGAAGCTCTCTCCCAAATCTCGAGCTGACATTTGGCCAGCGTTAGGTCGACGCCTTAGTGACAAAGATGGTTGATTGATGGCGAAGGTAAGTGGGGTTAATTTTTGTTTAAAAGAACGCATCAGCCCTTTCTCTCGCATGCACAGGTTATGCCAGACATTGGCAGACATAAAGTCAAGCCGTTCACGGAGCATCATAACAATGAATACTTCTGCTCCGTCGTCCAGTCCTGGCCCTTCTACAACCTGAATTATGTAAGGGCTCTCCGCAGGCAAAGGTCCAAAGCTTTGCTTGGTTGCCAGGTGCTATGCGAGGGGGGATGCTTTGTCAGAACAATGACGACTGGCAAGGTGTGCCGGCTCGCTAGAAAGCAAGTCGCCAAAGGTCACTTCCCCGAAGCGCTGACGACACTCCTGTTGACGGTGTTGCGATGTCTGGAAATGGGGCTTATCGGGGAGCAGTCCAAGTCTGTGTCCGACATAAGAAGGCTGCAAGCTCTGCTCAAACGGCCCGCTTGTTTTCTCGATTCCCCCTCCAGCCGCCAGCCTCTGTGGCCGCCTTTAGGAGCCAGGCATCCTGCAGTGGGTCCAGCAAACATATGGTAACATGGGCATAAGATTGGGGCGATAAGTGTCTCTGACACTAATTATTCGTATTCTGTCAGCTCCGGGGCAAACAGCGCACAGCTAACCATATCGGGTTTCAAACTTAGGTGGACATGGTTTCGCAGCTGGGACAACGCGGTCTGGAAGTCCGGATTTTGCAAACCAGACGTTCATCTTGTCAAAGAGTCGAACAGTCCGAATATGTCAATGTCCGATTACTGGGGTTGCCGTGGCTGCGTCCTCCGCTGCCATCGCTGCCTTCAGTAGCGCAATCCTTGGCAACCCGAGACGGGAATTCACAATCCATGTGCAAGATGTGCTTCGGCCTGGAGACCCCCGAACCATTTTCGTTCTGCTACGGCTGCGACTTTCTGCGACATGCTGAGGATATCGTACGAGAAACCGGTCCACAGACTGCTCAAGCTGTCGCTTGCAAGCCGAGTGACTCTCTCTTGCGTTCGCACAACCTGGGGTGCAGGCTGCACTGCAACAGAAGCGGTCCTCCCACACGAAAGTGCGGTGCATATCCACGTCACCTACGGACCCCAGGATATGGAAAGTGCAGGACGAAGCGGCAGATGAAGCTTTGCTTCAACTCGATGGAGTTTGGTGGAGTCCTCGGAGAACAAAGGCGTGGCTCTTGGAAACTTACACTGTCCACACATGCTTCCGTTGATTGCTTTATCTCTCTTGGCTCACTGCAATCTGGAAAGCGTGCTGTTTTGCACGGGTGAGTTTCAATCAATGCAGTACCATGGTGGCTTCGATTGGCTTCGAGGTGCCGCTGCACCGGTCCGGTTGAAAAGACTCTGCCAAGCCTTCTTATTCGCAGGAGAACTGCCCCGCCTGGATTTTTGCTGCACGTGCCTGATCGACACAGCGTTGAAGCGCAATCCTGAGGAAATACTGTCAGTTTTTGAACATGGCATGGAGTGAAGCGAATCCGAGTGCTGCTCGCGATTCGCTGCCCCGGAGACGCACACACGCACGCGCACTCTCACCCAAAAAGAGCTGGAGCTTTCAAGCACTGTGACATCCGTAGCAACATCAACAACGAGAACACCTACAACCTTTGAGTTACAACTGGTGCAACTCGTGCTTACAAGAAGCACTCCCACTCCGAGGACACCTTTCTTCGAGCTGTGGCTTGCGAAAGCATCGAGAGCCGTATCGAGGAAGCCTGGTGCTGCTGCCTGAAGCACTCTCACAAGACTCGCAGGCCCATGGTCCGGAGATGCTAACGGCTGACTCATCTGGGCCCAGATCCTGCCTTTTGCTCCTCGAGCTTCTGCGCAGCAAGCTTCAACAGTCCGTCGCCTGCACATCTCTCTGCGAGCTTGCGAAGCTGTGTCAAGACAGTCTCTAGAATGAGCGAGAGCGGGTTTGACTTTCATAGTCGTTTTGCCAACAGATGTACCCTAGAGATGTTAGAGGCCAAGAACGTGGCATCCTAGGTATCAAGCACAAATGGCCACAAACGGGATCACAGATCCTGTTGGCACAGAACCTCGAAGCCCAGAGCCGAGCTTGCAGCACGAACTACCGCCGCTTCTGCTTACAGAGGGTTAGGGATACAGTTTTTGGCCCGGCGTCCTTGTACTTGGCAGATAGAAAGCAGAAACAAAAAGCGTGCTGTGGGCTTTTTGAATTGAAGGCGCACCGGCTTCCTGGCAGCTCGTGCCTGGGGTTGCTGTACATCTGTGCAGTGGCAGCTTGCCATGAAGGCAAAACCAGAGGCCCAAGGTAGAGATCTGCTTACGTAGTCTGTCCCCGAAAATGCTGTCTCCTTCTGTCAACGCTTTTTGCTTCGGCCCTTTTTGACGTGGAGTGGCCCGCCCCCTGGCAGCATCCGCAGGCTTGCTAGGACCGGTTCTGGGCAGGATGGCATGTACGGTCGCTCGACCGGCAGCTCCGGCAGAAGATGTGACATCGCCGACTTCGTGTCAGTTGCATTGTGTGCCTCGTGGACACGGTGCGCGAGTTCAGTCACATCCTCGATCGAGACTACGCTTCTCACATACATTTCTGAGAGGGAGCCTTTCAAGCCAATCTGAATTGCTCTGCGGCGAAGCATCTGTCTCGGTACTTTGCCGTCTGCTGACATGAGGTCGCGCTCCGGATCCCACTGCACCCGGCCCTTTGAGCCACCCCCTCCTGTGCGGCATTGACAATTTTGCAAGAGCTCCGCAACTGAAGCATGAGAAACCTTCACCTTCAAGATGCGTGTTTGGTTGTGCTTGTATGCATAGCCAGATCGATAGAGGACCCACGCAAAGGAGGGCTTGATCCAAGTCATGCGTGTGGGGTTGAAGTTCGGGCCGCCGAACTGCTGATGTTGGACAGCCCAATCTGCAATCTCATCATTGTAGGCCTGGTAGAAAAACATCCCTTCATCATCCCACTGGCCGCGAAACACCTGCACATCCGCACAAAGTGATGAAACATCGACTTCATGATCGCACTGCTCATGGAGATCGCAGCGTATACTCCGGGGGCTGCTCAAGCTCGACTCTCCATCTGGGAACTTTTCAAGTGCCACTTCACCACTCGATCCCTGTGCTTCGGGAGACTGCGGCTCCGCGCAAAGCTCGCTGTCCGAAGAGCAATCCATTAAGGCACGCCGACTTGACAACTGAGTGGCTAGTCCGAGCTTTGGTGGGTGTGGGCAAAATGGCTGGCGATGAATGGACGAGAGAAGTCAGTGAGAAGACATGTCGCCAACCCCACATCACACAGTCTTGTACTGTAGCTCAGATTGTCTTGGCCCGCCGGAAACTGTTCAAGGACTTTGAGAACAAAGACCTTCTGTCAGTGTCTTTTGTTGATATCGCCATCTGGTCTGAGGCCAGGCAACCTTGAAGAGGTATCACAAGCAAGCGACTCACTGTTGGGCTACCGGCTACATCGGGCTACATTCGACGCTGGCCTGCAGCGTCCGGAAATGCATCCGGCGCCAGACCCAGTTCGCGAGCCATACTCAGTCGAGACTCCAGTTGCCTCCCAAGGTCAGCATTGGGAGACTGAGAGCATGCCGGTCATCCTAGGCCCAACTAACTACTACTTGCCTCTGCACGTCCGGAGGATGGGGAGCCTTGGAAAAACAACCTTTCCCAAACAATACTTGCATATATATATATATATATATATATATATATCTTTCAAGATTTGTCTACTTGACCCGATGACTAAACGCGAACCCTGGTTCCCATCAAGTTTGCAAAATCAAAGATTTCGCGAAACTCCCGAGGGCTGGTCGTGCCTGATGCTGCCACTCTGCAAAGATTCCAGAAGACCAAGGGCCGCCCTTCTCAGGGCAATCTGGCTGCAGGCCGTGCTACAAACGCCCGTCAGACACATCGGGCTTCTGCGCTACAGTTACAGTGAGCCCGGTCCTCTGCAGGGCCATCAAATGTCCGAAGGCCTTCTGCATGGTTGTCTGATCAGCTGATCCCACTGCACCTCATTCCATGGCCTACAGAAGTGCGATGACAGTGCGACTCTGTACGTCCCGGCTTCAAGAAGAACCTTCTTGTGGACGGATCCCCGACATTGAAAGCGGCATTGAAAGCGGCCCTAGGGGCCCTGTCTGGCTTCCTCCAAGGTCTTCTCCAGCCTCAGCGAGGTCGCGGGGCCCGTGAGTCGGGATCTCGCGAATTTTGAGTCTGTCTTCAACGGCTTCTCGGCTTCCCCACTTATCTTTCACAAAACCCCAGCACAAGGCATCAAGACAGATGTTACAAATGTGACCACAAAAAAAATCAAAGCCCTACCAACAAGGAGGCAAGAGCAGCGGATGGACATCGAAGCGAGTAACACCCTCAAACATCTTTACACTGAACCGCGCAAGTGACCTAGCATGCACTCGCAGGCAATTTGCTTCAGACACCTTCAGACTCTGGACACACTCTAGACGCAACAACAGCCGAGCACACGGATCCAGACGAGCTTCTCGGCCACATCCGCTTGATGCGAACTAGCCTTCAGCACGAAGTCGGCAACCATTTGCTGGATATGTCGGGAACCTCCCACGACATCAAGCTCCACAGGCTGGCACTTTAACTTTAATGTATTAAGACGTTAAAGCGCTTGTAGTCCACAGGTTGTCACAGGTTGCGGTGGCCTTCTTGCATCTGTGCCTCATCCATCGTCGCATTCTCAGGCTCACTGCCTCGCAACCCAACGGTTGGATTACACTCATCAGCCCCGATAATAGGCGCAGGCAGCAAGTACCTTACAACTGCTCAGGCATGTCCGAAGAACTTACAGCGCTAACACCATACTGGTAACTTGAATCCGGAGGCCATGCATTATTGGCACGACGCTGAAACGCGACCGCCAGCCGAGCACATCCGAGCACTGCTGGGCACAACGATCGTGCAACGCTCTGCGCAGGCCTCTGAATCGCGGCACCAGGTTGGGATCGAAGTCATCTACTTCGGTGACAACCTGCTTGACTCATTGTGTCATGCCAGGTCGTGGACATGGCTGTGAATTCCTGTTTGCAACTGGCAGGTATTGCAGAGCCAGCAGACAGAAACTCGACAGCAAGACTTGCGACAGAGTCGGTCTTCAATTCAGTCAAGACATGATGTGCCAGCCAAGACATGGATGTGCTGGCGAATGCTGCGGCAGTGTCAACACGACCTCCTATTGCAAAGCTAAGCTACCATTGTTGGCGTGGCAGCATTGCACTGGAACGGCGTCACACGATCGCCAGAGCCACTGCCACTGGCACTGCCTGCCGTAGACGCGGCAACTACCCCTCTGCAACCAGCAGAAAGCTTCGGACAGCACTGCTGACGGTACTTCTTTACAACAGCACAGCACCGGCACCTTGACTGCTTCGTCGGCTTGTCCGTCTCCTCGCGGCGGTCTTCTGTAAATGCAGGCTTCGGGATGAAATGCTACGAGCTAGATTCACGACTGCCGCGCTTCGCACAGCGATGTGGTGAGTTGCTCCTCGGCTGTTACTTGTAATTCAAGTCATGGCCAGAAGATCGAGGATGACATGAGCAGGTCCTACAGTCTTGAAGCGTCAGTCCTGCGCATATCCTCGGAATCCAGCCACTTTTCCCCACTGCTGCCCCTGGCCATGCTGCAGAAACCTTGCAGGCACGCATCAGACGTGAGCAGTACCACGGTGCTACGGGTTCAACAGGCACGTGGCCGGGCTGGTAGCAGTCGCTGCACGGTCTAGACCGAGAAGCTTGCGTCCATGTCCTGAGGCTCGGCCATCTCCAAAGCAGCATCCTCGCAGAGTCGCTTAATGACTCCGGTTTAAAATTGCTGGTAACTTGCTGCAGATGCATGGCTCGTTTCTTGGTATCTCGATATACGGGGCAGACAAGCATCACGGTCCCCCCTCACCCCCAAATGATTCGCTATCAGGCTGATTTGGCGGATTGGGAATCCTCGCAAGTGCTGTCGTTCTGAGAGCTTGATGTCACAGCGATGTCTCGAAAAGCCACCAGACACAGGAATCGCAAAACAGTGCCAACAGTCACCGGGATGGGCGATCTGTGTTTCGATCCGTGACTGCTATAGCAACATTCATCAATAGCAACATTCACAGGGGGAGACACAACCAAACCTGCACGGGAGGACAAACAAACGACCAGGGCAGGCAAAGAGTGACATGGGTCTGAACTTCGAGTCGGAGATAGTCAGAGCTCTCCACAGCTGAGCCCGGGTCCAGGCCGGACTTGGCAGACTTGGCCGGACTGGTGCTGCTGGAGCCCACATCCAAGATGCCCCAGTTAGGTGCCTTGCAGATGCTTGGAGGTCGGAAACGTTTGATCTCTTCGATTCCCGTGACAGGCGAATTGTAACCTACTTCACTACACGTCTCGTCATCTGGATAAGTTCCCGAGGGCCTTATGCACTAGAACTGATGCTTCGTCGTCGGAGTTCGCCATGTGCAGCTGTCCTTGCCAAGGAGCCTGACTTTTGCCAAGAAATGTCAGTCCCATAGGTTCGCGCTCCTGGCAACAGCAGAAGCCTTCGACCCGGGCTCTCGCTCACCACGCTCAGTTTTGACCAAGACGCCGAAGTCCGAAGCCAGCGTTTTCGCTCCCGGCTGGCCGTCCAGAAAAGCAGCTGTTCCGAGAGCATCCTGAGGCCAGCATCGAACCTGCTGAAGGCACGAAACAAGCGGGTAACGGCTCCAGATGCTTCCTCGAACCCCGCAATCCTTCCAACCCTGAGTGTACTGAAATGCATCTCGGTAACTGGCTGCGTTCCTGCTGTGCCTGCCACAGGTTTGCCCATGCCATATTGCAAAGCAGAACCCGTCGGTCTCAGGAAATGCTGTGCCCCTCGGCACCCGCTGGGACATCGTTGGATTTCTATATGCTGCCCCAAGTGTCCTGCCGAGCACGCTTCTGCTTGAGGAGCTTCCGGGCCGCGGCAGCCATCAGCCAACTGCGCCGCACCACCTCCACCTGCAGGCACTCTCAACACCTCTCTCAACGCTGGCAAAGCATACTGCGGGCTGTGCCCTGGCACCGGAAGATTCCCCTCACTGCTGGAAGTTGCCTGCGACAAACCTCCTGTGCCAGCGTACAGCGAAGTCAGGAATGCAGCGCCCAGTTGCTGAGGATTTCGGCGCATGGCCACCTGCAAATGGAACCATACCTATAGGCTCCATTGCAGTTCCTTTTGTTGGTTTAACCAGTTCTGCATTTAGGATCCTATAAGGTAACCCCAAAATGGAACTACAATGGAGCCTACAGGTAGATTCTGCGGAAGGCCGCCAAGGACAGCACTAAGAAAAGATGCGGGAGCACATAACTGCCATGCATGCATGCGTTGCAACCCGGCACCTGTCAGATGCATGTGTGCATGCATGAATGTACGTTTTGCATGGATGCTTGAATGTATGGATGGATGGATGGATGGATGGATGGATGGATGGATGGATGGATGGATGGATAATGATGGATACTAGTAGGTGGTATGTCTTGCTGTCTGTCTGTCTGTCTGCCTGCCTGCCTGGCCGGCTGACTGGCTGTCTGTGTCCGTGTCTGTCTCTGTCTGTTATCGGTCTGTCTCTGCCTCTCTCTGCATCTGCCTGCCGGTCTGTGCCTGCCTGCCTGTCTGCATGTGTGTACGTATGTATCTGTATGTACCACTGCCGCCCAAACAAGACTGTCGCGTGCTGTTGCCGGCCCGTGCAACTGCTCTCTTGTTTCAGTTTGTGTCTTCGAGAGTGCATTGAGAGCAGTTTCAAATTGACCGTCTCCTAAAGCGTCACCTTTCGAACGCCACATGGTCGATCAGTGCAAGAATCAAGCGAGTTGGCGCTTGTGTTGTCTTCCTCCTCAAATTCCTCGCTTGAATGCATACTTTCCAGAAGCAAGACCTCCACCAAATCACGACAAGCATACTTTCAGCAAATGTCTCCTGATGAGGTGACTTGCAAAGGATGCGAAGTTCACCCACCTCCAGCGCCCGCAGTGCCGCTCTTGGTGCCTGGGCTGCGGCAGAAGCAGCAACTGCTGCTGCCTGCTTCGCAGCGAAAAGAACCTGAGCCACTTGAAGCATCTGTTCATTTACGCCAAGCTGGCTGCCTTTCCTCGAAAGAACACTTGCTGAATTGTCTCAGCACCCAAAACTGTTTCTCAGCTGATGCCAGGACCAAAGACTCAGGCATGCTTTTCTCAAAGTTTTAAATAATGCAACAGAAAACACAGGCAACGTAATGGACGAAGCAGTCTTGAAACCAGACCATCTGCCACGATGTAGTCAAATCCATTATGATGCAGGCAGGGGCCTCGTCGTCCATTGCCACGGGCTCCTCTCAACACTGCAGACTCCAAGCTTGACTTTTCAACGTCAACACCGAAGACCTACAAGCCATCTAGACCTTGGGTCTAGGAATGCAGTCCGTGTGCCTACCCAACGTCAAATCAGAAGCAAAATTGTCAATGAAACGATCATCTCGCCAACTTACTGCCTCCGGACATAACGAAGTCGAATGCTGTCCTGCATCACGTGGGCAACAGGCCCAAGCAGGCCCACGCATCCTCCAACCTCCGCAGTACTTCCCGGCAGCAATGACAAGCCAAACAACCACGAACACAGCCCCACAGTTGTCCAGACGGCCAGGCAAGGAATTTCAAGGTATCGATTCTCTCCCAGAGCAGATTAGCAGATTGTGTCGTTGTAGCAGTTCCGTTGACTCGCTGGCACCAACACGCGATGAGATACAAATAGACATTACACTGCCGGGTTCAGCGCAAAGCCTCAAACTACCACAAATCCAAGGGGAGTCAGGACATCCTGCGACGAGCACCTGCGTCGAGGCAAGCTTTCGGCCAGCAGTCTGGAAGAGGTCGCCTCGTCGCGGAGCATCACAAGAAGCGGTTCTGTGCGGCGTCAGTTCGGTCGTTCGGGCTGCGCCCTGCATCTACCCGAATCTATCTACCCATTCATCGGTTTATTTATTCATAGATGTCCGTGTAGGGTCACGAGGGAACCGCGACAACGAATATGAAGCCGGCAGTGGCGAGTTGCCGCTGGCTGTTGAATGGCACCTGCTCGCGGCAGGTCAAATAGCCATGATGAAGATTTAGCCGTGCATGGAGACTTGGGCAGCTCACGCGACACGCGATAGTTTCATATGATTCATATGTGACTGAGCATGCATACCCGCCTCGGCCGGAACTTTTCCTGCTGCGAGGCATCCAGAGCCGGCAAAGCAACTGGAGCCAACCAGCCTTGGAAGAGTGGGTCTTGGGGCGGCTATCAGGCATGGAGTCCAACACAGTCCCTCACAATCCGACAACTGCTTTTGGCACGCTCTGTGCGCACTGCACATGACACCGGGCTATGAGGCCAGGTGCGGGTCTGGCCCAGCTCCGTTGGAAGGACAACGGCCCCCTCGCTATCCTCCCGCGAAGAGCCACTTTGACAGCTAACGTCTCATCCCAAACTCTCTTTACCGAACCTGCCCGAGGAATGGAAACTACAGTCCTCATCCCGACCAATGCTGGACTGACCATCGGGGCAGGCGCTCCACTCGACACCACCTCACTCTGCAAGAGCTCTGTGGGGCATGTCTTCAGGATGCTACAGTTCCTGCAAGGAGCCAACTGCAACTGCCACTGGAATTCTCAGGGCCTGAAAACCTGTAAATGCCTGCATAGCACGTGGTTACCGCAATCAAAACCGGCAATGCCAGTCAGAGCCACAAAGAATTCGCCACAGCGAATCCATTCGATCCTCTTCGTTGGGCATGTTGGAAACAGCAGCAGGGCTTCTTCTCAAGAGCCACCCTGATCGGAATGAGATGCTGCGCAGCTCCCTCGTTGCTGGGAGAATGCAAACTTGAAGCTCAAGCACGTCACCACGTCAGCTTTTCATTGGACAGTATACAGAACTTGCCAAAACCGCGGCAGCCTCTACCTGCCACTTGTCGCTCCCACCAGCGCAGCCTTAGTATCCGAAAGACACGATTGTTCGACCAAAGCTTTTCCTATGAAAGTAATGGCCGTAGTAAAGTATGCCGGCACGACACCCGAAGTTGAGCACGTCTCAGAGCCAGGGATGATGTACTCTTCCGGATTCCTATGACTCTTTGCAATTATGCTTTACAGGGAACTGCTGCCCTCCAAGAAGCTCGTCATTTTGCTGCGCCCAGCTGCTTCCCAAACGCCTCCTGGACACATGACACATAGCCGGATTGCAAAGACGGGAGAATGGAAGAATGTTCTCCAGCACGGGGTCGCAGGTTCTGACCCATGAGAACCAGAGCCTGCACGGTGTACGCAGCCTGGTATCGCTTCGCTTTGTCAGCAGTCCGCCTGCACCTGTCGAACTGTGACTTGGAACATGCGGTGCTGTGATGCACTGTTACACCTAGCATTGCCATCATAGCCCACCTGCCGCAGCTGGCTTGCGTGGAAGTGGGGGCCAAATCTGATGCGAGATGAACTCCACCTGTTGAGGATTGCACCGATGGTAGGTAGACCGACTGGAGGTATGCTGCTGCATTCCATAGCACCGGCATGAATCTCTCGCACGGTCTCAAACAACACTCCGGCGCATGCATGACTCAGAGTCGAACGCACACACGACCCACGGCCGCCGAACGCGCACAGCATCAAAGGGGGCCTGAACATTCGCGGATGAAGGCCGAGCTGACTTGGGCCAATGGAGCACCTCGAGCAGCCGAGCTTAACATCGCTCGGAACCCCGCCGAAGAGTTCCCGTCAGTTGCAAGTCTGCTTGTAGCTTGCTTGTGGCTTGCTGGCTTGCTGATTTTCATTCTTGAGACGATGCGGCCAAGACGAGCCCAGGCACGACTTCAGCCTTTGCAGTGATGTTGACCCGAGCCTGGCAGTGACAAGCCATAGCCATGGCTTGGGTGAACCTGAGGCTGGCCTGCTTTTCCGGGAGGACTTCACGACCCCCAGCTGCCCAGTGGCCACTGATTCGGATGAGACCTTGCTGCGAGACAGCAAACCTGAGTCAGGTCACGGTCAAACTTTTCGGGCTCCAGGCGGTATATATGCGCTACGCGTCACAGGTTGTTGTGATCTCGAGTCTTGAAAGTTTCAGGTGCGCAGGCACATTGTGCTGAATCGCGAGCTGCGAGATTTGGACAAAACTGGCCGTTTCATTCCGGCACCGCACACGCGTCTTCCACATGATTCGCTTCGGGCGACAGCATTCGCAACGTCTGCGGGGCGTCTCGGCTCTCCCAGGCCTCACCAGAGGCGATGTCATGAGATGTCTCGACTCGGACTGAGCTGCGACCGAAAGATGCCGCAAAGAGAACAGCCTGGTGACTCGTGACAAGCCGGCCTGGGGCTGCAAGGTTGCACGTGCCCGCACTGTAGCAGGATCGAAAGGTAGTGTAGCACCTCAGCTAAGCCAATCCATCGCCCTCCTGTACGGTGCAATTCGCTACTGTACTGTAACTTCAAGCATGTTCAAGCTCAGTTCGGGTTTACCGGCCCGGCTCAGCTGCAGCAGTTCGACGTCCAGGCTCCTACCAGAAGGCCCTTTTCCTGGTTTGCAGCTTTGCAACTTGCGGTGGCGCTGGCAACGCCAGCCTCGCTCCTGAGGAGCTGCAAGCACAGCCAAGGAAAAAGAGAGAGAGAGAGACACAGAGAGAGAGCGAGAAACAGAGAAACCGACGGAGAGGAGAGACAGAGGGAAGAGAGAGAGAGAGAGATAGACAGATAGGCAGATGGATAGATAGATAGATAGATAGATAGATAGACACTGACAGACAGACAAACAGACAGACAGACAGACGAAAACAAATCGTAGACATACTTTCTCCGTGAGGCAGCATCATGCCGATGTAGAGCAACCGTATCAAGCACAGATAGCTGTAGTGTGAATATGTGTGTTCCTGCACTTTGCGGGTTGAATCTCGTCTCCGTACCTCTAACTTGTGAGATGCCGAGCATCTCTTCGGGCAGACCGGGCGACTGCAGGAATGCCTTGGTGGCAAGTCGACACATGCCTGTATAGGAACCTGAGATTCAGAAGGGCATGTCGGCAATCCCTGCCATTCCGCCTTCCGTCCGCTTTTCATGCACATTATAGTTGAGGATTGAAGACTGTTTTGGCGGCCTAAGATGGCCTACAATTCGACAGGGCTCCTGAGCATCGGTCAGACCTGGAGACTTGCGGGGGGACGTGTTGGGGGCATCAATGCCTGTTCCCTTCACATGTCACATACTGTCCCCCAATTTGGAGGCCGTTGCCCATGCGTGCACAAAGGATGCCACCTGGCGCTGACTGATGTTCTGAGTCTGCCTCGCATGTCGCATGTGCGATCAATCTTTGCCAGAGGCACATGAAGACGCTGCTGTCGCGGCCCCAGTTCCTGCCCGCAACCCTGCAGCACTGAGGGTTCTGAAGTGTCGACCGGAGCGATGTTGTGCCATGTCGTAGGCAGGTTATCGCTAAACTCCTTGCTATGACCATCTAAGAAATGACGGAGATCTTCGAGACCAGTCAAGGTGCAACAACTGAACCTTTCACCGATTTACGGGTCCTGGTCCTCGTCTTGACTCACTAGCACATCGTCAGCCTCCTCTTGATTTTGAGAGTTCCTCGGCTCGGCCACTCCATCTGCAAAACTGGACCTACGCAGACGCAGAAGTGAATAAGTCGATGCGATGCCGCGTGGGAGATTAAATGCCCCACGGCTGCCACAGCCAACAGCCCCAGAACTGACAAGCCTGTTGGAGACCAGTCTTAAAGCTATCAGCCAGAGATACTCAGTGCGGCCAACTATTTTCTGCCAAAGCTCGCACCAACCCCCAAACGACGAGAACATCTACAAGCTTTCTACACCAGCAGAAGGTGAGGCCCCTGCTCTTCGGTCGCTGGCTGTACCCACACCACCTCAACAGTCTTGGCTGGACAACTTCAGTCGTGAGAGCAACTGTCACGGGGTCCGGGTAAAACTCAGCTACTCAGACCATGCCACCTGCTGGTCGGCAGTCGCAACCGGCGCATCTGCGCCGGGCTCGGCAGGCTCTTCTGATTCTGAAGCCTTGTTTCAGCGCATCGGTGCTAAGAAACGACCTGCTGTCGCTGAACCGATGGAAGGCAGGCAAGGTGCGACCTCTCCATCGCAAGGCTTGCAGACTTCTCGGGAGTCAAGGCCCTCGAGGATATCCCCAACAGCCCCTGAGCAAGGCGAGTTCGGAACTAGCTCTCGGTTTTGCAAGGGCTCCCGCCTGAGAGCGACAAGGCCTGTGCCCAGCGCGCCGCTTGGCTCCGAGCAGTGCCGTGAAGCCAGAGCTGTAGCTTCCTGCAAAGAACAGCAGGTCCTGACTCTGACTGAGGCAATGGGTAGTGCAGCGCTTAGGTTCGCAAGTCCGCCGTTCAACTTGTCGCGAATATGCTTGTGCCACAATTCCAGTTTTCGACTCTCACACTCGCACAAGGCCGGCAATTCCAGTTTTAGGTACCAGTACCTGCCAATACCTGCATGGCTCCTCGAATTCTACAATTCGGAGTGCATGCAAGGAGCCGGGCTTGGAGAGTGCCTGGGCCCGAAATAGTTCGTGCGAATCTGATGCTTTAACTCAACCAGCGGCCAAGAGGCCACAGAAACATGATAACAACATGTCTCTAACCTGGTTTCATGCCGTATCCCGCTCCTTACGTAAGTTTAACCGACACCAGCTTGGACTTGCTCCCTGCTTGCTTGTCGAGGAGCAATGCTGTCGCAGGTGCTCGCAGACCACGTTGCGGGCCTCCGACGCGCAGCGTTGCGCAATCAGGTCCTGCGAGGGCACGGTATCAAGTCCCCAGCAACTTCTACAGACTTCTACCAAGCCATTGCGCCATCGAATTCTCGCTCACTTGCCACTTTGAGAGCAGAACAGCACATGATGCAGCAACACGAAGGAATCTGCTCACTGCATGCTCCGAACGGCCTAGCTCTCAAATGCGGGAAACGTGCGAGCAAGATCGGCAATGTGGGCATGTCCGGGATTCCTACTCCAGAGGCAACATGAGCCTAGGTTCTTCCTTTATTTCGGCAGCGCACCTCCTCTGCGACTTCCCGCAATGCCATCAGCAACGCACCGTAGAAAAGCCTGTGGTGATTCTGGTAACAGCAGACACGGCAGAGACAGTGGTACACGGATGACATGGGGCTGCCAGACTGCTAGACCACCTGACCCGACATGATATTTCCTGCCTACATGATCCGCACCCCCTGTGTGCGCAAAACAGTCAACGGCGAAGTGGAATGTTTCAATGTCTTCCTGCAGCTTGGGTGCCCTGAAGAAGCTGCAGGTCTTCGGCGAAGGCGCGCCAGGAAGCCTTCGCTCAAACTTGCGTGTTCCGGGCTTCGGGGCTAGGTGCCTTGTTGGCGAAGGAGCGCATGATTCTCAAAGCTGTGCCAAGTCCACTTTTTTGAGGAGGGGCTTGCAGTGCACAGGAAGTGGCACTACTGCCTGGATCCTAAAGACAGACCTAAGTTCCAAGACATGCCCATGGACTCCCCAGTTTCTCGAGTTTGCCGAGCCTGGCCGACGAGATGCCAGCAGAGCCTGGATCTTTGCAAGACTGAAGTGCAGCTCTGGCAGACAGCACCAGCCGCCATCATCCTTCACCCCTGCAGTCTCTATCTCTTTGCACAGCCGATACTGTCCCTTCCGTGCACCCTTCACCAGACCCTTGCACAAACGACCGCTTCCTCATTTGAGAGACCCGTCTTTGCATGCGTATGCCCGACATCATGCGCGCCAAATTGCAGTGACCTCCACCTGACGCCACAACTAACACACGGGCCACCGTTGGCAGAGTGGGGGTCCTGGGGCTGGCAGGAACGGGGCAATATGCATTTCATAAGTCAGGAAAGTCTATATACTATAGGCAACCTCATGCATCTAGAAATTGTCACGCTATGCAGGCGACGACAGTTCGGCGCACAGCTAGGCAAGAAGCCTGATAGCAGTGCCCCGACGTCTCTGCTTGACCGCCCGGGCGGGCCGTGCGGCAGCGTTGCAGCAATTACAAGTTTCTTCAGTGGAACCTTTTACGCCCGCCCTTCGGATCCCTTCGGCAGCCCTTCCGCCCGCTCCCGCAATGTCCGTATAGAATGAATACCTTATAGTCTCCTGTCTAGAAATGGAGAAGAAAAGCGGCTCATGTTGTGCCGGCAAGTGTTAATCCGTCCCTGTGAACCCAGGAGAGGTTCGTCAATCCACAGGTGGAGATCCCGAGAGACAGGTGCAAAGAGACATGAATCCTGATCGCACTACATCGCGCCTGGGCGAGGCGGATGCGGCGATTTCGGGCCGCCCTGGCAGCGACAAGCCTCGAATTTCTCGCTGGGGGTCGACGGAATTGTACGTCTACGGCACAGGAAGCATGATAGCTACCTGAACCATACCTACTGAGAACAACAATGATAATGAGGCCGGAAAGGATATTCGGTCGCGCAAGCGCAGTTCCTAAACAGATAGCATCTAGCTGCATGGGCATTCCAGGAGCCTCCCAAGTTCTCGCAAGACCACCGAAAATGAACACTGTAGGTCTGGCCCCCCAGACACGCACCGCATTGTGGCCCAAAACCGCGCGGAACCGCACCGGGAGCGCGTTTTCGATGCACCCGCAGGAGCGCGATGTCGATTGTCGCGAAACTCTTCGTTCAATCTCTTAGAACGGACAGATTTGGACACGACATGATAACACAGAAAACCGAGGAGGCTAATAATGTGGTCCTGCTAGGACCTTTGACACCAACACCAACACCAAAACCAACAGCAGCAGCAACTGATAGCCCCTCAGAGGTTCCATGCATGTTCCACTTGCGCGTCTATGGTCTAATTATGGCTGCTGAAGACGCGGGACAAAACCCACGCAATGGAAGCGATTTTCCACCCAGAACACTTTCGCATCCTTTGGCTGCCAAAGCACTTCCCCCGCAAGCGTCCAGGCAGCAGCCCGCTCCTGCAAAACAGATCGCATGCCGTGAGTCAAAGGCACAAAACGGCAGTCTGACTGCGGTCTGCATAGGATGGCCGGTGCGGAGCTAGCAGCTGATTCTACAAGATGTAGCCAGAGAAATATGGCGGCTCCGAGGGTCCTGACCCAATCCAGTTCCAAGAGCTCGCGACAGGCTGAAACAACACGCTCTGCATCTCCTCTTAGCGCAGACCTCGGAGTTCACTGGTGATCGTGGGACGATGACATTCGAAGCAACAGCCGGAAGCCCTCACAAGCCTTCACCACCTCTTCTGTTTTGCTCAGTCTTAGTCTCCTGGGCCTTGCCCTGGCCGCAGCCAAAGCACATCTCCAGCTATACAAGGAAACGTTTAGAGAAATTCGTAGACATCAAAATCACTCACGTCAAAGTCTAGCATACCCACGCATGCCCGACCTCAGCTCCCGACAGACACTCCTCATCGGTGGGTTCACAGGCTCCACGCCTTCCACTGCCGGGAGCGACGTTTCCCACATAAGCTAATGTAAAGTGTAACGAGCAGGGAAGGAACTGCAATTTCGCCGCATCTGCAGTTCCTGCAAGAGGTGAAGAACTGAAGAAGCAGAACATGTAGACCAGCCACAAGCTCAAAGCCTGCAAACCCTGACAGCTTCTTCACCAGTCAACAGTCAACTTGAAGTCAAGCGACCAAGAAATATCCTAATTGGCAAGCTTTCTCTGTGTTGTTGATCGCCGGACCCCAATCTCTGATTGACGAAAGCACACCTGCCACGATGCCTCACTGGCAGGGGTGTTAGCTTCTCGTGCCGATGCGAAGCGGCAACCTTCGCGAAGGGAAGGCCTGCCGCGCGATGTGCTCTGAAAGCAATCGGGCTTCACATGCAGCCAGCCTGCATGCCATGGTCGTATTCCCAACGCATCTGCTTGTTCCTCGCTCCGAGACCTGCGCCGCATCTTCGCATCTTCGTGCTTCTGTACAAAGGTTTCGTGTCAGGCGCAGACACAGTCTGCTGGCAGCGAACCACTGGTGGATGGCTACATGCACAGCTTGCCGTCACTGAATGACTGTCCTGAATGCAGAGCGCCCTTTGTGACCCTCTGCCATGAACTAGGACAGACTGACACTCGAACTGGCAATGGGATGCGACAGGCCCAGCGCCTGGGATGCGTCTTGAGCTGCGCACGAGTGTGACTCTGGACCACCCGTGAAGGCAAAGCATCCTCTCGTTATGCAGGAGTTGGCTCTGCAGGTGCGTTTGATGTGACAGCGCACTGCACGACAATCTCCGACATCATGGCATCCTAGTTCACAACGGAGCCCAGTCCTGCAGGATCTCGCTGCAGGCTGCGACCTGAGCAGTCACGGGCGCCGCATGCCCCTTGCCCGGTGGATGGAGGTTGAGCGCCAAACGAGCCCGTGGCGGTGTCGACAAGATTCCAGGCCCTGCCGGCAAGGGTTAATCCTATGATGGGCGGTATCTTGCATCCCGACACAAAGGCGACATGATATCTGAGGGATTCAGCACACGTTCTGCCGCTACGCGCCAGCAGGTGAAAGCTCCGTCATTACGTCCCCACTCGGCAGAGGAGCCTGGATTTGAGCAACGGCCGCACGCAGAACTGCAAGTACGGCTCCTGCTGACAGTTGTCAGAACGGGTACCGCATGGCCAAAACCCAAACTGGACAGGAACGCGAAAGGTGCAGCCGACCCAGAACACGTCAACACGGGGGCAAATGTGGCGAAAGTCGCGAGATGTCGCGAGTTCACCACGTGCACAAACTGAGAAGAAATACAGCAACATATATGACGCCAGTCGGACAACAGAGCATGGAGAAAGATGAGGAAGGTCCCTGACGCCTGTGGCAAGGAGCCCTGCAATGAGCTGCTCGCGTGGATCGTGTGGCAAGATCAGGAAGTCTACCGCTAGCAGCAGCAGCAGCGTCACCTGGAGGCACTTGCACGGGTTTGGGGTTTAAGATTCTAGTGCTGGAGGTATAGATTTTCGGGTGAGGGGTTTAGTTTAATGGGCGGCTTCAGGAGGTTTTCAAGGGTTCAGGCACCTGTCTTGGTCTTTTTCGGGCGCGTCGCACACATGAGTTCCATTGCCACAAGCAGGGTCCCGAGCCTGGAGCCTCTACGTGTTGTCAGCAACTTGAACCCAAACTCTAGGGTTTAGGGTTTCGGATTTAGGGTAGGGTTTCGGCTTTAGGGTTTAGGGTTTAGGGTTTGTTGGGGCTGGTATAACTAATGTCTGTTCGACACTCAACTTGCAACTCAACTTGCAACCCCTTTGGGAGAGGCTGAGCGACAAAATGGCCCATGGCCGCCAACCATCCCGAGGTCTGCCAGAAGATGCCAACGTCCTAACATCTCGGTCGAGAAGGGCACTGCAAACTGCAACATTGCCTGTCACGCACCGCGCAGTCCTCCAAAGCATGTTGCATGAGGGCATCTGCTTCGTCGGCAGAGTTACCGCCTGGAGAGCATCATGAGGCTGGCTTTCGCTTCGCATGGCCAAGGACCAGGAGTCCCTGCATGAGCCCAGCACAATTTATGACTTGCCGACATCGAACCACCAGCCTCCGTAGACGCTAACCACTGCTAACCTCCTTGCAAACACGCCACCATCGGTCCCGGTTGCGAAAAGAATGCCTGAGTTGCAGCGGAGTCGTTGGCTTGTATGTTTGTTTAAGAGTCCAAAGTGGCACGTAGCTCGGCACTTTTGCCAAAGGCCGCAGAGAATGCTTCGAGTTGAGGGAAAAGCTGAGGTATGTGGGAGCACATTAACTTCGTGGGCTTAGCCAAAGCAATCCGTTCGTTGACTGACTAGCTTTTTTTCTGGAACCTCAGTGTCGCCGATGAACACCGAGTAGAAAGAATGCATCACCCACTCAGCCCGGACTTCTCCCCTGGATAGTGCTCCACACAAGAATTTAAGCTGCGGCCATGGCTGCGCTCGTTCAAGTACAGACAGGCTCGCGCCGGCAGCGCTCCGAAAGGCAGCAGAAGCCAAGCAATGGAGAGGTTGTGCACCGTGGCCCGGACAACGGCCATCCTTTGCGGTTCTTCAGATCCCTGCAGCATTCAGGACTTGTCACCTAAGAAGTGGGACGCGACGTACCGTTTTGTGTTGTTGCCACCGTGTTCCTGCACGCAACTCCCTGCAAGTTGTAAAAACGAGAACCGTCTTCGTGGCCGGTGTTCGCACCTGCCCTGACCTTATGTCGACTTCAACACAGCCGCCACACACATGGTCAACCCGCAAGCATGTTGAGAAATCTGGAACGCTCAACACCATATCTGTGCAAAGTGGATGAGCCACACCCCAAGACTAACTTTCATAACTGTGCATGTCACCTCCGTTCTGTAAAAACAGTACCATAGCACTCAGGATGAAGAGATCGCATTCTATCTGTGGTGCATGATACGTATCAATCTGTTCAAGAGATCAGAACTACCGCGCCCCGAACAGCAGTCCAGCTCACGCAGTCGGAGGTGAACGCGGTGGTCATCGGATCTGTGTCCGGAAGAGCAGGCAAGTACCACTCCAACCTCCGGCCCACCTCAGGAACGTGAAGGAGCAAAGCCAAACTATATTACGCTCTGTCAGGGCTTCTGGAAGGCATGGCAAGTATCTCGATGCACACCAATGCCGCCTGGAAGACGTAGCTCATCTTCTGGTGCCAGAAACCTGTGTGATCTGGCGAGTCAGGTATTCCACGCACTTCACGGTTTGGTTACTATCAAGATAGCTGCTATACTTGTCTGCAGAAAGCCGGAGCCTTGCCCCCGATGCCAGCAAGCCGACGGTCATAGCAATGGAAAGGAGTGTCTAACATTCATCTATGCTAAATCTCATCAGGCGCTCGTGTATGATCTCAAGAGAGCTGATTAGTTTAAGAATGAAGCAGTATCGGTGTTTCCCTCCTATTTCAACTTCAACTCTTGCCGTTGTGAACCTGAGAACATTCCTCCCAGATCCTGCCAGCATAGTTACGGTGCGAGCAACCCAGAGATGCAAGGACACCAAGGCCAGGTCGGAGGAGGGAGGTCCTTGGCGCGCAGCGTCGGCTTTCAAATCCCACTACAAATGCAGGGTGCTGCGGTCCCTGACAGGTTGAGGGAAAGGCGAGTCGTGCTGGAACACGACTCTCCGGCCGAGGTTCCCAACATCTTATGCTTCTCTACGTTATGCAGCTCAGGTCGCGGCGATATTGTTTCAGCTTCCGCTGGATCCACAGCAAGAGTTTCATGCCTTGCAGACTTCCAGGCTAGGAATTATGCTGCCGTCTGCTTCTCCCGGCCTGTAGTCGGACATCGAAAGCGGAGCTGCTGCAAACCGAGTCATCTTCACGTCACGACTGTACAGGAGGGATGCAAGCCAGCCTAGGCAATCGGAGATGTGACTCGGAAGCCCATCATGTATCAGGCAGTCCATGAATGTATCGAGCCGGCTTCTTTGGACAGGAGGCCAGCAGGCACCAGGCCATGAAATCGGTAAGCATAGCCACCCAGGATGCAGAGAGCGAAGAAGACAGAAATGCCGGCAGCCTCCCAACACCCGCACAAACCCACACACGCCCGTGCGCACACACACACACACAAAAGGAAGAGAGAGAGAGGGAGAACGAGCGAGAGAGTGAGGGAGATACAAACATGAGAGAGATAGAGAGAGAGAGAGACAGAGACGACGAGGGTACTTGACAGGCACTGTTCAGACAGATGGTTTTCATGCTACTTGAATCCTACAACGTGACATATCTCTAGACGGTTCAAAGAGCGTCCATGGCCTGGTTTTCTGTGTGGATCATCACTGCCAAAGCTGTGGTGACGAGAGTTCCGTTTCAGTTCATTCCTGAAGACATTCAAGTGAACGTTCTTCTTGGCCCAGACCCTCCAGAATATGAGGGCTTTGACGGCTATTTCAGACGGAAGTGCACAAAATGCATACATAGCCGGGCTTTCTGCCATGAGATGATAGACTCTAAAATACATACGATTCAAGAAGGTTCCACCTTATGTCCATAACATGCATCATTCTGGTACAAACCTTTGCATATAAAGGGGAATCCAAATGCAGGCCCAAGGGTCGAAGAAGACCAAAGTAGTTCCCGTCCAGCGAGCCGCTTGATGCCAGGCATTAGGGACGCTCCTTTGATCAACTGCAGTTTCAATGGTATGACAGCTATTGTGCTTCTGAAGGTCACTGCCTTTGAGGGTTGCAGGGCCAAGGTTTGATGGCAATTTTCAGGATCACCAAATCGAAAGTGCCCATCATGTGCCGAGGGTCTCAGGAGACATTGCACTGCGGGTGCAGTGCAGCTCTGGCCAAAAATCCTCAGCTGACGGCCACCACAGACATGAAGATCCTGCAGGGCCTGCCGTTTATTGACATGATCTTACACAGACGAGTCCTGCTCGCCACTATAAATATGCTCTTCGACGATTTTTACACACAGTGTCGCCCAGATTGTGCAAAGCCGAGATTCGTTGGCGAGCTCCAGCTGAAAGGACATGCCGGCCATGATCAGGGAATGCAGCACCAGAAGGCCCAGCTGCTCAACAGCCTCGCAGCGAGGAAAGTCGCATAACGATCATTGCCTTGAGGCTGGACTCGTTGTTGATGTAGACGACTGGCACAGAGGCACCGTCTCACAAACAATATGATTGCCAGTGACTACATAATCAGTGTTGCCGCAATTGCCGTGCCAAAAAATACACTACCACGTTGACCGGCACCGATGGTCGTAGAGTCTTAGTTACTTTTCATGTATCGTTTCCCGAACTCCCAAGCATGTCTACAGTACCTTGGCAACGCTCACAACGGTCGCAACCTCCCTGGTGCGCCTGTCCACCCACAGCTGTTTGGTGAACCTACCCTGAAGTTCGCATGGAGCCTAGGCACGCCTTTCGGCCTTCCAAACGTCTGCTTCCAAGCTGCTCACCGTAACAAGCCTCAGACCTCCTAAACGTGGCAACATCCACGGAGCCTGGCCAATGGTGACCACGAATGCGAAATGGAGTGGCGACCCAACAAACCCTGAGCAAAAGAATCAGAAGCGTGGTGTGGGGTCTGGGGATCGAGTGGGCTTGTCACGGATGGTTTTGTTAAGTACAGGTCTAACTCGATGCCTTCGCTGTCAGTGCCAGCGCTTTTTTTCAACGGCTGCTCCCGCACAGGGAAAAAACGATATGCTGAGTCAAAATCCCTCCCCGCCCTCCAATCGTCAGGCAAAGTGTCCGATGCTGCGCAGTCTCAGCATCTCTAGGGCCAGTGACACGAAGGAGAAGGCATCCTTATTTCGGACAGCGATGCAAGCCTCACACGCGCTATGTCCTAGGCAACCTGCATGGACCAGTCCACGAGATCAGACTCTGGCTGTCTCAGGTGACTACGCTCGCAGTGCCCCTCTTTCCTCTTCGCTTCGGGCCGGGGAGCCGTTTGGAATCTCATTAAACTCTCATAAAATGAGTTGAAGTACGAGTAAGTGTTGCAGCATGAAGATCGATTTTTGATGAGCCAAGCTGCGAGCAAAGTCAGGAGCAGCACGGCAAAGGCAGATCCCAATGCCTCGTACAAGAATGCTTCGCAGTGTGACCGACGGAACCGCAACTTGCCTGTTCTTCGGCATTATCCGGCAGTTGGCATCATGGGGCTTCAGTCTCAGTGGCCATGGAGGCAGCAGCGATGCGACGCAAACCAGGCGAAGCTGAAGCCAGGGACCGATGTACCTGAAAGCTGAGCAATAATCTATGGGTCTGCAACGCTGGAATCGAACATCGTGACGGGCTCAACTGCACGGACTTTGCTGCCGAGCCAACCGGGAGAAATTTGTCAAGCAGTCACTTGGACTTGGATACAGCCACTTGGGGCCAATCAAGTTCTTCGCGTGGCTGCATATACCGGCCCCATCAATGCAAACACGCCAAACTGAGGCGTCGACCAGAACGTCTACCATGAGCATCTTCCTTGCCACCTCCACGGTACCAAGCACTAGATCGCCTCGTTCCAGCTCAGCGCAGCGCTCAAAACCAAAAGACGGACCTGTATTTATAGTATAGACCTAGGAATCCTCCGGCAGGAGCAGCCTCTAGCACTCTAGGGCCCCAGCATGTCGGGGCCCTGCTCAGACTCACCTAAGCCCCTAGTCGTGCCACGGCACCGCAAGGACTGCAGTAGGAAGACAGAGCCTCGAGCAGCCACTGACACATGCGTGACAAAAACAAAGCCTTCTTTCAAAACGGTGTGCACATGTTTCTCTTGCTGAGTGCGTGCGGCTTACGGCGGTGCACCAGCGCTGCGACGACACTACTTTGATGACGTATGACAGGCATCTTTTGCCATCTTAGTCGTTGACCGCCCCTTGAATGACCAGCTATGACGCACCCGAGTGTGCCGGACAGCTTTAACCACAGGTCACCAATCAAGGACTGCGGTGCCAAATTGGCGTCGGCAAGGGCTGTTGATGCAAAGACTGCACATGCTGTTGAGGCTTGAACTTACACCTTGCTGGCATGAGGCCCTTTGCAGATCGTCTGAGACACGGTGAGAGAAAGCCGTGGCATTGCTGATGATGAGCGACGTGCCACGGCCCAAAATACTGCCTCGCAGAGATGGACGTTCTACTTGGGGCTCGGCTCGGATTGGAGTCACTGCCCTGTCCACCTTCGCACTCTCATCCTCTCATCGAGTCTGCAGTTCAGGCTTCGGGCCCGGGCTCAAGTGAAAGGTGCTATCCAAGAGACAGGGCTGCTGCTTCTCAATGACGAAGAAATCGAAGCTTGGATTCTCCATCCACTCGCATATGGCATCATCCGTGCCATAGAACACGTCCTGGGCGCTTGAAACCTTTCAGCAAAATGAGTCCTTACGTTTCCGTTGTGTCGGCACACTGCGACACGAATACCCTTTTAGTGCACCTCCGTGAACAAGCGGCCGTTGGCCGGTCTTGGATTTGGAAGGGGGGTATTAACGAAGAGGTGCAAGGGGAATAATATCAGCTGCAAAGTTGCTGCATAGGACAGCTCCTCCAGTCCATCCTGTGCAGGCTCCGACCAGCCACGCTCTAACTACTTGCAATGCTGTCACTTCAGTGCTTCGGAATTCAGTTTCTGTTGCTATGATCTCTCTTGTCATGGTCTCTGCCCTGCCTGCGGATAGCAAGCTCGAAGCCCCACCGAGTTCGGAGGGCCCATGCTGAAAGCTGCCAGCGACGTGGACCTGCGTCGCACCCCGCCCTGTAGGCTAGACAAAACCAGGCAGACCATCACCCTCTCTATCTATCTTCCACGTGAGCATGGGGAGGAGCCGAGACAGAGTGGTATACTATGACATAGGGCATATACCATGGAAGGCGCAAAGTGGGACGTACGGGAGTTGCAAGAAAAGCATGGAAGGAGTGGTTGGAATGTGAAGGGCAGGCCTCACCACCTCACGCGCACACTCGGAAGGGAGCATGTCGCCCGTGAGAGCTGTCAGTCGCCTGCTACTCAAGCACGTAGCATTCTCCTTGGCTGACAGGTGAACTCTGCCTGAAAACTCAGAGTTTCCATCAGCCAATTCAGGAAAGGGTCAGCAGCCAGCATAAAATGCCGAGACAGGCTTGAAGTGGCATACTTCCTTGGGCTGAAACTTATAGGACATGCGACGCTTCTTGCGTGCATTCAGACCGTTGTTGGAAGCTCGGAAAACCGCCTGCAACCGCTGCCTCACAAGCGGTACTTCTAGTTATTCCAGTTCACCCTCGCCCCAAGACCCTAAGCCTAAGTAAGGTACTCTGAGCAACCAAAACTGTTCATCTCTACCAAGCCCATGTCAACCTGTGCTGTTACATCTGCCTTTGTGCTCGTCTGCGGATCCGCCTGCGTAATTATGCACCTTAATGCACCTTAAATGTAATCATCTGGCACAGCACAGGTTTGCTGCCGAAGCCACTCGATGAAGACCAAATCCTAGGCTTTCTACGAAGAAAGCGACATGGCACTCTGAAACGTCGCTTCGAGAATCTTCCCTCATGCAATAATGCGTTCAAGCTCTCACGATGCCCGCATGTCTTGCTTGTCCAAGCATCGAAAATAAAGACGAATAGTATGACTATGGCTTGTCCCAGGGTAAAGGATACAAGTGCCTCAGACGCGATGCAGCATTGGGACAATGACAAAGATGCAGAGAACTGCACCGACTGGTGCCAAACACGGAAGCCATGTCATGATACAACCAGCTTCTCCTTCCAGGTGTGGGTCCCCCGACTTCGGCTAGCACCTACCTGAAGCTGTACTGCCGGGACACAGCGATGGTAGACATACCAATGAGAGTATCCCAGCAACCCTGGCGCAGCCTCAGTTTGCTTGGATGTGATAACTCTCCCGCATGGCCACACAGCTGTTACGATGTGTGCTGCGATCCCACCAGGTGGAAACCGTTGCGTTGTGGCCGGTGCAGGCTGCAAAACTTGCTACCGCCGCTGCATCATGCCGAGCTGCCAGCGACAGGCAGACTGTGCCTTTGCCGGGCATCATCTGAACATGCAGACCCTGTTGCTTCGCCTCTTCCCACATGTCCACTGTCATAACGTGCAAAATCGTGAAACACCCTTATCACGAGAAGTCTTCATCTCGATGCCATTCTGCAAGCCCACAGACATCGACATGGTCGTCTCTGACAGTACCATCAATATCTTCGGATGCCAGTGTAGCTCCAAGATGCGATCGCTCGAGCTCGAGCACTTTGTTTGCCATCTGTGCAAGAGCCTCCCAGATCTGCACCACAGACTCTCATCTTGGGCGGGCTATCGACGAATTCAGAGCTTCCCACAGTTCCAATGCACGGGGCCTGCGGTCGACGAGCTATCTTCCGAAATGCCTTGGAGTCCAGGAAATTATACCGAGTCTCTAACTGCAATCGACAGCACTGATGCCTAACTTGAAGGACTGCCAAAGTCTAGGATCATTCGACTCTGGGTCTAATTACATTAATTGCAACCATGCTTCCGGGGTCAGGAAAAGCCGGAATGGACAAGTGACTGGATGCCCTCGGAGAAGGGAAATGCCTGGAAGCCGGAACTCGTCGCTTCTTTGGGGGGTACTGTCACGGCATTGACCGTTCATTAACCTGTGCCCTGGAATTGACCTGCAGACCTGTCGGAATCACTATCTGCAACATAAGCACAGCGGCCTGGTACGTGCGACATGTTTGCAGTGATGGGGCAACTGTGTCAAATTATTCAGGAAAGGAGCTCCATCGAGATGCGCACTGAACTCGATGTAGACTTCTGGCTGCCTGGCTCGATGTCAAAAACATGCAGTGATGTGGAAAGGCATGGCATAGCCCACAGGGGCTGGCTCAACGCAAATCCGGCGGAACCCAGCCTGCGGCCTGTGGCAAGCCTGGCGCCAGTGGGCCTCCGGCGCAAATCCCAAGCTGTTCGTTCCGTGACGGAACTGCTTAGTTCCGAAGCCTCCCGAACCGGAAAGACTGAGTCCGCCCAGGCCTTCGGTTTCGTTTGCCTCAGGCTCCTTCGGAACGGGCCGGCAGTGACAGGCACCAAACGGATGATGTCTGCAGGGTTCGGCAGACAGTCCTGTACATGCGTCTGGTTACCATTCGTCTGCGGCACCTTCTCTGCGCACCTTGCCCACAGACAGTTTCCAGGTCCAAAATGGTTCTATGCCACTGCACAACACGGCAAAAGCATCAGCTGTGACCACTGACTGCCACCACTACTACTAATGCTACCACTACCACTACCACTACCACTACCACTACGACGACGACTACAACGGCTACTACTGCTACTACAGTACTGCTCCTACTGCCTCTGCTACTACTGCGACGACGACGACGACTACTACCACTTATTACGATAACAACAACCACGACTACGAAGGCGACGAGGAGGAGGAGCGTCGCGGGCCTTATGTTCTAGACGATGCATGCAACGTCAGCAGACTCCAGTTTTCAGGTCGCATCATCACTTTCCGTACAGATGTCAGGAGAGTTTCAGATCGTGCGTCCGTGGCAGGTTTGGTTTGGGACGCTGGATCAGTGGAGCCTGTGCCTCGATGCCACTGCTTCGCTCGGAGCCTTTGTTCTGTCCTTCTGCTGCGGTAACATTCTCGCAGCTTGAAGCCACGTTAAATTAAACCGAGCGGCTCTGCCGCTGGGAAGGCGGCTGGCAAGGGCACCGACTGGAAGGACTCTATGTCCGCGCCTGGAACGTCGCCGGCGACAACGGACAAGGCCAAGTCAAAACATGAGAACCACCAGGATTCCAGAACAGGCTCCTGCGTGGCCACCCAAGCAACACACGCTTGCCTGGGCGACCCCCTCTGCGGCCAGCTGGACGGAAAAATGCAGAATCGCCCGGCCCTGAACTGCCATAGCAGAGCTCACATCTCTGCCGCAGAATCACCAGCACCCAAGACTTGCCGCCCAGACTCTACCGCTCATGGGCAACTTGGAGCTGTGATCCGATCCTCTCAAACAAAGCGGTCGCAAACCCAACGAGCTTCGCAGTCTTCGGAGCAAGTTCTGAGAGTTTACCACTAGTTGACAACAAAGGGGTACTTTTGGGCACTCGTGCAGCAATGACCGTGGCTTTCCGGAAATGCGGACCAAAGACAGGCTAGGAACACTGAGATCTATGAGCCAACAGAAGCAGAAAAGTGAGAGGAACACGATGACCAAATCCAACTTCACAGTCCTTTGAACATCCCACATCAAACGATACACATCATAAAGAAACCAAAAAAGAAAGAGCTCCCGTCCTGCCGTCCCACGCGCCAAGCCTGCTTGGAATCATGCGGAATCGGATGCGATAAAGCGAGGTTTTGATTTTAACCTCCGGCGCAACATCCCATATGTCCTGATGCTGTCAGAAGACCTTCGGCAGCTGGTTTGGGCGAGCGGTCAACCGATCCTGCAAAGCCCGCGGTAGACACAATTGCTGGAATGCTGCCTCTGGCTGCTGACCTACTCTATCTGTGATGGAACAATGCTATCATGCCATGGGTTTGCAGAGACATCACCAGCTCAACCTAGCTCAACATTACCTGCCTGACTCCTCGGGCCAGGAACTCATGGGCGGAGTGCTCAGTGCCATCATCGGATCTGCAGCCACGTCCTCCTGGAGTTCGATCTGCCAGTCAATAATCCCGGCTTCCACCCCGAAAATTGAACGGCGCCCAGTTCGGGATGCTTGGCAGAACAAGCGGGACTTTTCTGATCTAATGCGAGAAGCCACCCTGCAACAGTCCTCAGCCACTGCCGGCATCACACCGACGCCCAGGCGACCAGGCTGGTTTCCGTGTTCCTCGGGACAAACAACATGTGGCGTTCTTTGGCTTTCGTTTGTCTGCCGTGGCATTCTCTGCAGCTACCAGGCGGCATGCCGCCGGAGGGCTGGCTCCGTGAGCTTTGGAGCCAAGAAGCACGTAACAGGCCCCGGTCTGGTGGAAAGAAGCCCCAAGAGGCTGCCTGCGATGTGCGCATGCTCTCGTGGCTTCCTGTATTTCGACGACTTAGCTGCTTTCCAAGACGCATACGATTCCGGAACGTTAGCCAGCGGTGATGAAGATCCCCGTGATGCCGCTGGTGTTACTGATATCTCCGGTGAAGGACACTGCGCTATCTTTGTGGCCTCGCAGAAACCCCGCGTGGCGAGCTGAACTCATCACATCAAGCAACCGCAGGCGCACGGTCTCGCCAGGTCAAAACCGTAGTTGGAAATGCTTGCAACAAGTACCACGCACATTCTCTCGAGCACACGCGAACACCGACGTGCAGAGGAAATGGGCGGGAAGGGCACGCAGGTAGAAGTCAAAAGTACAAAAGGCAGGGAGGGAGACAGAGACTCAGAGATGAGGAAGCGAAAAGAGTGATAACAAAAGCATGACCAGCAACGAAGATATTGTTTCAAGCCAAGGCACTGAAGCAGTTGGGGAGGCACTCAGCCGGACAGCCAGGAAGCACAGCTTGATGAACCTTTGCTTCACACACACACACACACACACACGCACGAGTATGTTGATGCCCGACACATCCCGACACAGGCATAACATAGCAAAATGCAATGAAGCAGCAGCAGCGAGAGAGCCACAATGACCATGTGTCCTTGTGCAAGTGTTGCTACTGATGGCAATGCACAAGGAACTGCGAAAGCTTGTCCGGAGAAGCGGAAGGGTCCTGCGAGCAGAAGCAGAAGTCCCGCCACAATGTGGCCTGCCAGGGAGACGAGCACGGCTCGGCGCAGCCTGGCAGCAGTGGCAAGGAGCCGTCTTTCTCGGCCAAAGTTCTGTCTGCCAAGAGGCTCAGGGAGACCCACCTTGCCCATACCTATCAGAGCAGGTCGATATGTCTACTTGCGCTGTCCGACAAAAGCGAAGGCCTGCAGCTCGACAAATTTCCAGCGTCCTTCCTCGCAGCGATTGACATTGAAGCGGCACCAGCCTCGTCCGAGCATGGCTCGCGCGCTGGAAACGAGTGCGTCAATGACACAACGGATGCACCAGGCCTCTGGGCACTCGGTGGCTTCTCCTCGCTGCTACAGCGGCGTTCCTGCAGGCTGGTCTGCGTGCGCTGCTGGAGGGTATGATCTGGCCTTGCGATCCGTGGATTTTGCAGGCAACTGATTGTCTGCATCTTTGCCTCTCGAGAAAATGGCACCCTGTCTGGTGAAACGCTGATGTCCTTTTCGGGTCTCGCTGGGCGGCCCCTAAACAGACGAAACATCGAGCTGAGCCCTGTCAGCTCGTCGGTCGAGAGCCTTGCCGACTTCGCCACTCAGCAACTATCTTCGGCCTCAGCCTTCGGAAGGCAGCTGTGCCATAGTCCGGGCCTTCACCAGAGCCTAACTCGCGCTCGATCAGAGCTTCGAGCCACTCGGACCAGCTCTGAGATGCCTCAGACTCCGCTTTCGAGATACTGCGACAAGCCCTTAGAACTGCCTCTTTGTCCTCCTCTGAGCAAGCCTGCTCAAGGCTTCGAAGCAAGTTCCGCAAATCTTCGTTCTGGTCGAATGCGGATGCCTCACCATGGGCATCTTCGTCAGGGACGAGCTGCGAGAATCCCATCTCGGCCGTTGCATTGCCAACCCTCACAGTTTGCTTTCTGGTGTACCGAAAGCAACACCGACAGCACACACAGCAACAAACTGAAACGCCAGCAACGCCTACAACAAGCGCCGCCTCTGTGCTTTCAGATCCGTCTCGCCTGATGTCTTGCGTGGCAACCACTCCTGAGCTCGTAGTGGAGCTGGTTGTTGCACTAGTGGAAAGTGACGTTGAGGATGTAGTACTCGTGGATGTAGAGGTGCTTCGCGATATGCTACTCGAACTGGAAGTGGTTGTAGTTGTGCTTGTTGTTTGGGTGCCTGTGAAGGTACTCGAACTGGAAGTGGTTGTAGTTGTGCTTGTTGTTTGGGTGCCTGTGAAGGTTGTCGATGGTGTCGAAGACGAGCAGCTGCTGGAAGTAGTTGTGGTTGTTGTTGGCGTTCGTGTTACCGTTGTTCGAGTGAGGCTTGTCGATGTCGTTGAAGACGTGATGGTTGATGTCACTGTTGACCGTGTCTGTGTAGATGTGGGCGAAGTAGATGTCGTGGACGACGAGGATGAAGAAGACGTCGTCATGTGCTCACAGTAATCCCATGTGCTTCCTTGACATTCCGTCGCATTGATGACGAAACACCACTCGCCTCCAGGATCACCATCTGGGTTACAGCAGTGATTCAGGCAGGGCGTGCCGTTGTAGGACCAGACTTCCTTGCACATGCAGCCACCGATTGTGTAGTTGGTGAAACTAAGCTCGCTGTATGCTGAAACTGCCATGGAAAAGAAGATGACAAGCAGTTTGGACCACCATGGCAGCATACGCAGATCTTCTACGTCATGTATCGCAGCACTGCTAAATATGCCAAAATATGTTTGGGTGGACGAAAGCTTGCATGTCGCACTGTCACTACATACAGCCTGGCACCTTTACACTTTCCGTCCGAGTGTCTGTATAAGCAGTAATTACGCTCCTCACCTGTCATGCCGAGTACTGCCGAATTGTCCGCTTGAGCCGCTCTTGGCTGAGGCCCATCTGCCCACTGTGGCTTGCCAGATGGCGTGCCAACTTCAACACCGTCAGAGGTCGCAACATCCTCTAATTAAGTCTAACTGGCTACACGACATGTTGTCCAGAGGTCTTACATAGAAACACACGATGGAACTTCGTGAACAGTGCCACGTGCTTCCATCGCCTGGGAAGGCGGCATCAGCCCCTCCTGGCAAGGGAGCGCCTCGACCGGAGGCGGGACATGACACGCGTTTTGGACAAGCCGTCAATCTGGGGGCCACGCCGCATCTGTACCACCCACCTCTTCCAGCTTGCACTCGGGCTGCTGCGGACCATCTGCCTTTTCTGTGCAGGACGCACTCATCTCATCTAATCTCAGCATAAATGACATACCTTGACGCACTCCCCGAAAGGAATCGTAAAATGCCATCCCAGAATCAGATGTGGCATTCGCGGCCAAACATAACTGGGCATTCGAGTTTTGCTCTGCATCGCTGACTGCCTGCGCTCCGCTCTGGTCTTGGCCTGCCCAAACAAAAGCATTAAGCACACCCAGAAGCAGGCCAGATAGCACTACTTAATCACGCCAAGCATACCTATTCTTCAACAGTGAACCGATTGGACGGTGAATTTCACGGGCGTGCGTGCAAACGACACGAGTTATTCATCCGGACCGGGACTATCCGGATGCAGAACCTTTGCTCCTGACAAGCCTTGCTGTTAAACGATTCCTTTGTCTTACATCGGTCTCAGCTTTTCAAGCACCTGAAACCCTACGTACATCTGACAGCTTCCGATATCCCACCCTGTCCTTCCACTTCCAGGATTTGTTCTTCCTCAATCTGCTCCTCTTCCTCTGCGCCCTCGTCCTCATCGACTTCGAGAACAGCTGTAAGGCCGCGAGCCTGCACGTGGTGAGACACATCGAGCAGCTGACTCGGTCAGACACTGCCCTGTTTCACCAGACTGACAGAAACCGCGCTGGGACAGAACCCGCCCGCTTAGGATAACGTCAGCGACTTGTGTTTGCAGGCTGGCATGGCCGGAAAAGACGATTGATAGTATCTTCATGTTCTCAGCCACGTCGACATTGGTTCCTGCAAGTGTCTCGTTGTGCTCACAATTTCGAACGTAAATACCACGTACGCATATGCCTACGCCTCCACCCAAGCCCGGAATTCGATGGACTGGCTCGAGCCTCAAGCTTCAGCATACTAAAACTTTTGCGATGCGCGATGCGAAGGAAATTCTACGACCAACCTAAACTCAAGCCCAGCTATACTCTGAGGAGCAACACTTAGCTGTGAGCTCAACACAGAACACAACAGTGACCATGAACCTGCCATTGGGCAAAAACCGACGTCACACAGTGCAGTCACTTGGGATGTCCCGAACAAGATCCACTCCGAGCCTTGGCTTTCCTCTTCTTTGGCGCCTCTTCGGCTGTCCAAGCCTCACCGCAGCGACGGCGCGGCCTCGTCGCTTGAAGTTGCATTTTTCACGGTGGCTCCCCCATTGAATGTATAATTACTGACCGATCAAACTTCAACGGCTGTGCAAAAGATCCGGGGCTGGCATGGCTGGCGTGCTTTGGACACTACGGGCTGCTCGCAATAATTTGAGGTGATGTACTTAGAGGGAAATCGAAACCCGGCAACGAAACTCAGTTTGACCTACTCAAGCATGAAGGAAATTCAGACTGCTCATGTTGGCACTGAGGACCGCGAAGAAGTATTGGGCTTCTCGAAGTGGCGTGGGCTAGGATATGTTATGCACGAGAGCAACAAGGTGCAAGTGACATTACGCCGTTTATCTTTCATGCTTCTGGTCTGCATCCACTCAAACACGCGAAGTCTGCTATTATTGCCAGGCAGTCTTCCCAAGGCTTGAAACGCAGAAATGCAGAAACCATTCGTCTGGCTGCCTGGATGGTCCACGGGGAAATGGAAATGCTCCGCCAGCCGTCTCAGCGCCTTTCAATGGACAGTTATGGAATTGTGGCGGCGACGGAGTAGCCATCCATCATACTCACACGCCACTTCGGCACACCGACCCGTGCTCAAAGTAACATGTCATCCTGCGTGGAAGGCCTGTAGCGGGTGTCGTGGCAGGCACAACTTCCTTTTGCACCGCCTGCACCGCCTCCGGGAGCATACTTCCGCTACTACATGAAGCCATCTGGAAGTGTCTGCTGCTATGCCGGAAACGGAGACCAGCTTGGATTCATGAGGGGATACGCGCAAGCACTAAGGCAGAGGCGACATCATGACCTGCTTCTACACTTCTGCCGTCTGCCGGGTACTAGGACTGCGTGAGTTATAACGTCCCTCCCAGCACCTCCACAACGTCTGCGGCCGGTATCGCATCGACTTCGAAGCTTGGGCAGCTTGCTTCGACTTCAAGCTGCTCATCAGGCTTTCGATGCTCCACCTGAGAACCCGGAGTGTTGACAGAGTCGCTGAGAGTCCTACTCTATCACATTCAGCCGCCGAGGATGACCGGCGTCCGAGCGGCGGGTGGTGGTGTCTCCGGCACTTGTGCAGCATCTTCCCGGCAACCCACTGAAGGCATAGCCTGCATGGCCGTAGCTGGAGGTGCCTGGACTTGCTCTCCAATGCCAATGCTGTCATCCGCCTTGACAGAACTGTGCAAAAGGGAGGCGACTTTGCATGGCAACCCTGACATGAAGGGTCACGGACTGAGGTGATGTTGAACCCAGTGCATCACGTCGGATTCCGCACTAAGGTTAACCGCCGCGACGGCAGTTGGCAGGCATGTGAACCAAGTCGGCAAACAGCTGGGTCCCCCATCTACTCTGCAACTTAATTGCTTGCAGCTTCGGATTGGCGACGTTTGGCCAACGGAATTCTCTATCACTCGTCGCTTATTTGATGACGTATGGCATGCTTTCTGTCGGCTTCTACTTGCAAACACGAGCTTCTGCAAAGCGTAGCGGGCATGGCACAGTTGCAGTGGCAGCTACATCTTGCGGAACAGACGCCTTGGAATTACATCGGCAGATCACCGGAGTCTCCTCCGGTTTCACTTTCTCAGTGCCTCAACCACGCAGAGTCGAACCAGTTCTGCTGTCAGTCAAGCGCTTGCACCTCCCAAGCAATGGTGCCCACAAGGTAGCAGCAGCAGCAGAAATCCGACGACGGTGCTGAGGAAGAACCCTCCGAAACCTCATCTGGCTAAACATGCAGGTGCCTCTTCAAAACTAGCTGATGGCAGGCTGTCATGATTCGGGCAGGCACCCCTTCAAGTGCATGCCGAGACACTGAACAAAACCAAATGCTCCTCGCGACTGAGACTCCGTGAAAGACCCGCAAGGTGGCCATCCACTTCCTGGTGCAGGAGCAAGACGGAATAGGCCTCAGAGCACCAACGGAAGATGCTGTAGAACTGTAGATCGATCTGGTTCTCAGAAGATGGCGTGCGAACCCCAGCGACAGGTGTTCAGTCAGAGGTACTGGGGTATTTGTTGCCAGCTCGTTTGAAGCCCTGCATTAACAAGTAGCATAATTCGTGAAAACATCGGACACGTCAGAAGCACAAGCATGACGCAGACAGATCTGCGCCTCCATCAACTGACCCTGGGAGAACTGCCCAAATTTGATTCACAAGCACACGCCGAAGTCATACCAAGAGCGATGAGTACATCTTCTGCCCATGATGTAGCCATGGCATACGACTTAGAAAAAAAGTCCTAACACAATCCATTACCCGCGCCATGAAACCGCTAATCAGTAATCGCGTGAACACTGGCCAGCACAAAACCGTTCACGATGTACAGTGATCAGTCGAAGTTACGTACAACGTATGGTCTTATCACCTACCGTCGCACCTTTGGCACCGCAAGGGCTTAGTCTGGTGCCGATCATGCTGACGGAATCGTCTCATCACCATAACGCGGCTTTAGAGACGGCTTTGCCCTTATATGACCAGGGTATGTTACGACTTTGTGCTTGTACAGTTGTGCGCCATTTTCTGCCGATTCTTTATGACTTCGGCGCCACTCTCTCATTCCGTTTGCCGTGCCAAGGTGCCAGTAGCCAGCTCCCGATGCTGCAAAGGTAACCCAAGGCCACGTGCTTCAGTGAGAGTCGCCGCCCCCGCGGATTTCGTGGAAGCTCCTTGGCACTTCATCGTTGACACATCTGCAATCATTTAAGGCCTTTCGAACCCCGGCCATGTTTCGTGATGCCATTAGTTCTCTACCCATGCCTTGCAAGTTCCACAGCACTGGTGATGAGTCATTCAGCAACAGCGAAACGGGCAGCTTGTTTGCTGAGTCCTCGACCCCCCGTGTCTCCAGGGTGCATGCCAAGAAGGTGCAAGTAGAGGCTGAAAAAGTCAGTGCTGCCAAAGTCGTCAGAGCTTGGACCGCAAAAATGGGCGAGAAGCTTGTCAAGCCGAAATACCTGACAGCGAAAAATAATGAAAAATACCAGGCTTCCTTTGCGAACTAGTGGGCGTACAGTCATCACCTAGCTCTCAAGGCCAGTTTGACGGCCAGGCCAGGCAGGCCAGGCAGCAGGAACACGAAGCTCGCAAGCAGCAGAGCTCGAAATAGACTGCGCAGGAAAAAGCCTGAGCGACTGGAGATGGCTCGTTTTCGAGCTACGGTCGCATGCACCCGAAACTGTATGGGGCTGTGAAGGAGGGCCAAGCCATCCAAAAAATGATACATAAGACGATTTGGTGCTCAACGCCAAACAACACATAGCTTTGCACGTAGCTTAGCTGCATCTGCGTTTCCTGATACTGCTGCTCACCACTACTTTTTGCACCATGGTACTGCTCCCCCACTTTTGAGGCTGAGCAATCACCGCCGCGCTGGCGACAAGCACAACACCACCACCTGGCCAATCATGCTTCGCACTTCTTCGAAACGACCGTACAATCCTGTTGCATCCTGTTGCTGCGTTCTGATGCAGCAACATGCACTCGGAACTCCGGCCTGCGCAAAGCCCTGCAGCATCGCATCGCAGCACTGTCTCCTGTTACAGAAGACCAAAAGCTAGAAGCTCAGTGGCATCGGTCCTGAAACGACCGTGCCGCAGAACAAGGCCGGTCGCACTGCAAGCTCGACGATGCTCAACCCATTCTACTTGCACCACGAAATCTTATTGCACGTGTGTGCTGTATGAAATTACCCTACCACCTAGCTACCTACCTAACCCCCACACACACACAAACACAAAGACACCTCACCATGGAACGCAAAAACAACAAACTTATTCCACTCATTCCTGTACCTCGGCACCTGCTGCGTCAGCCCGGAGAATGTGCTGAATTTTGCATGAGACTCACACGCTCCAGCACTAGCAAAGTCCTCGTGCGGCATTGCTACAAGTAGCGAACTATCGATTTCCAGATCTTCACCCTCCAAAGCAACACTTCCGCCTGGCTGTCGCCGACCAACAGCAAAAATACCAGTGTTAGCAGCGAAACCAAGGCTGCCAACACCTCTGGCCTGATCTCGCATGCACTTTGCATGCATGTACAGGACAACTACAGAACCACGTAGGTGGTCCAGCTGCGATTTCTCCGTACAGAACACTGGCAGCAGACTTGCCGCACAATGCTTCCAGTCCCAGCCGAGAGCCAAGCCGGAGGAAGGCGCATCGATAGTGCCATGAGCTACCCGAGCTACCCCGCTCCTCAGGCACCGCTAATGCAAAATGTGCGCTGACTTCTCTTGCAGAGTGAGCTCTGCCGGGCCTGGCTGTTGTGCATGGTTGGGCCATGGCGATGCGACACTGCAGGCTAGAGTAAAGAATGACCATGCTCTGCCAGACCTTTTTTTCCAGATACTAGTACCCACCTCTTGCGTTCAATTCACGCAACTGCGCATGTTATTATCATAGTAATATGATTTGCAGTCATTCAGAAACCCGGAGCGTTTTACCGTTTCGCTCTAGCAAAGCTCCCAGGTGTAAGTACAGAGACAAAACTTATTGCAAAATAACTCACAAATGCACACATGACCTATATCAGCCATCCATCACGTCCACTTGATGCGAATGTTTGGTGGTGGCGGCAACAAGCAATGCAGCAAGCCAGCCTGCTCGTGCCCACAAGATCATTCGTGTCAGCTGACGAGAGATCGATTCTCACCCCAATGAGGAAAGCACCGTGGCAAGAGCTTCGATTCTCACCCCCCCCCCCTGCGAAATAAATGAAGACGCATAGCGAAGTCGGCTGTCAAATCTCAGCACAATCGCCGCCGCTGTCACAGCACTAGACTCTCCCAAGCCATTTAGTTTACAGACTTCTTTTGCCCGGAGCTGCCTTCAGGCTTTGTTGCCTGTCTCTTCAAGCATCATCCGCTGTTCGTCAGCGCGCTGCTCCAACTCCTCCACAACGTCCTGACTGAGCACGTGCGACGCCTCTGATTGGCTTGAACCTGAGCTGTTCTTGACACGCCTGCACGCTGTCCAAGGCTTGCAACGCCGAGCTCCTCACAATGCGCACTAAAAGCTCAGCCAACATGAACCAGCACAACCATTCATGCACACGCATACACGGAGGCAACTACGCAGAAGCACCTTCGGTGCAGAATAAAGAAATGCTGCAGCGCGGCTGTCGTCACGGGCCCTCAGTCTTTCGATGTCGCCCACTGCAGCTCAACCGGCAAACTGTGGAGCCACGAAGATCCGGCAACGCAATGCAACGCATGTATGACTACGCTGGGGGAAAGCACTGGACTTGTATCTGCCAAGACACGACCCGCCAGGCGATGACGAAGGTTGTTGACAAAGTCTTGGCTTTGCTCGGTGCTAGGATAGAATCGAGCAAACCTCGGCTAGGCCTAACAGAAGGGTTTTTCTCCTCGATCTTCCGGCAACCGACTCCCCTTGTGTGAGCACGGACACATACCAGCGATCTGGCTGTCCGAGGCATAGGAAAACTCAACATGCAGGTCTGCTCGGCCATTGCGGATCAGCGCAGGGTTGAGTCGATCACGGTGATTGGTCGTCATGACGAAAATCTGGCCTCGCCAACATTGCTCTGCGTACATGCACGGCATGCTTGCATGTCTTGTTGATACTCATGTTTGCCGGAGGTGCCGTCAGCTTTGCCGACGCCATCGAGGGCATTCAAAAGGCCTGCGATGCTGCTGAGCGCATACAAGATACAAGGAATAAACGATGTCGGCATATCGCAGGAGCAAGCTTGCTGAAACGGTATGCGTCAAGCGATGGAAGCTCAAAGTGCCTGAGAAGGTCAACACCGAGTCGGCGAGAAGTTTCTCACGATCCCGACCGAAAATCGCGTCGATGTCCTCAAAAACTAGAAGCCTCGGTGGGGCACGTGCCGCCGGACCTTTGTGCAACAGTCTTTGCAGCGCAGTGGCGAGTGACGTGGCGCTTGGTTCATTGCTGCCCTCAGGGACTCGTCCGTGAGGTTGGGGTGCGTTAAGTGCACATAACCTCAGGTTCATCAGTGGGCAACTTCTGAATCGGTGTCGCTGCAAACCGTGAGTACAAGATGCTGAGGGTCGGGCACAAATTGTGCTGAAAATGGCCTGCAATTGCCTGCACCAGCCTCGCCCCAAGTAGTGCTGTTCATCGGGACACAGAATGTTACCTCTGTTGTGATTGCATGACTTTTGCATCCAAGCCTATTGCATGACTGAGCTAGCAAACCTAAGGACCATATTACATGCTGCTGGTGTCGTGCTCGAAGTGCCCAGAGTGTGCTTGCGATGTGGGAGACTCCACGGCCACCCCCTTGCTCCGGTAAAGACCGCCATCTCCCAAAAGGCAAGCTTCTTAGCCAGGCTCCTCCTGCTATACTGAGCAGGCTCCACATCCAGGTCGGCCAACGAGCATAAATTTGTGACAATAATAACTGATAAATATCCCTTCGAGCGACACACTATTTCCCCCGAAGACTTGGACGAGACAAGACCAAAACTCACATGCGGTCGAAGCTCGATGTCTTGCCGGAGCCAGGCACTCCATAAAACAAGTAGCCTCGCTTGTGCTGAATTCCATGCTCCTGCCAGCATAGTCCGACGTCTCTACAGCTGAGGCATCTTCGCCGCGCTAGACTGGGAGCTGTCATCTCACGTCCTTGTACCACTTTTGAGTTTCCGGCGCCAGAAACTCGTCTAGATCAGCCAGCAGCTTCTCTTTTACTCCTTCCAGTTGGAGAATTTCGCAGCGCCCGCTCGTGATCGACAAGAGGAAGGCCTACATATGTCTGTATCTATACCCTGGTGCTACAGCAAAAGGCCAAGCCGCAAACCATGGGCTCGAAATTACGAAACCCGTCCGTAATGCGCCTGCATCCAAGATGATGGATGCCATCGGCCGCGCCGGGCACACAACCCGCGCTTGCCAGTACTGTTGAGTGGGATGCCTGGAGCTCTGGCCCCGAAAAGGCCAGGCACGAAGTGGAGGCAGGTATCAATTGTACTTTCACAGTAGTTCCTTCAGGCTTGCGCACGTATCCACCAAGGAATCTCGGGCACTGCTCCCACAATGCGGCCAAACTCCAAACCGAGCAGCCATTCGAAGACATTGATGAAACCTGCCTGCAATCCAAGCTAAGGACACTAGATCTAAGTCACCAGCCGGTGGATGGATTGCTCTTGTGTCAACATTTATCCCAGCAGCTACTGCAAGAAGGGCAGATCCATCGCCTGCACTTGCTCGCTCTCCTGAACAATCTCGTTGCAGAACAATGGCAAAGCCTCCCACGGGTGACTACAGACAACAACCGTGGGTAATCTTAGCGGTGTACGACATGCCAGAAGCTGCTTGGCAGGGACTGCCTCTGCCTCTCCGATCTTCGCAAACAAGACCTGAAGCGACGGTTTGCGTTTGAACTGCACAAATACGCAAAACAAAAGTCCGTGTGCTTGTCGATCAAGCCGTGTGACTAAGTTTGTGAAAACGTCCACGGCATTCCCGGCACCGACAGGTGAACCGAACATCTGATGCAGGGCGCTCAACTCATGGCCCTTCCACTGAAATTCGAAGAAGCCGAGGCCAATGGTCGTCCTAATCACGACCGGCGTGAATCCAAGGTGTCAGCGTCAGGCAAAAAACTGGTTCGGTGTCCACACTTCTGGTCAAGTCTCGGAGTGGCTTCCGTACGTACTTCACTCTCCTGAAGGCTGCCGGACAGCAGCTCCGGACTGTATCGCAAGGACTGCACCTGGATACTCGGATGCTGCCGCAAGAAGGGACTGTGCCTCTCAATATGCCGTAACCGGGGATTCGGCATCCGGCTGTCTTGCGATGTAACCGCAAGCAAGGGAATATACACGCGTTTTGTGCCGCAGCTCGAGGAAGACGTGCTGCGAAAGGTCCTCCCACGCATGTTTCTGTTGATTTTTTGCGATGACCGGCAATGCAACGGCACACGGGTAATTTCAAGCTGTCCAAGTGCTGCTCTACCTCCGCTGCATCAAAGGGAGACTGCCTGCACAATCCGAGATTCCAACGATGAGCACAATCACAATGCCGCGTCACTGACGGCAAGAAAATCTTCACAATGTGGCAAATCTAAAGAGTCCAGATCGAGGGCACCACAGCATTAGCAAACACATTACTGATAATTAATGTGTAGAAACATATGCAAACAGTCCGTGCTGAAGGCAACGACATCGACGGGCGACCGAAATTAGAGTCCAGAGACGTCACCCGTTTTGCACTGAGGCGGTTTCGGCATCCATTCAACCTCTACGACTGCTGACATGGAACCATTGAATCTAACCCGTTCGATCCCCGAACAAGGCCGCGCGGGGCGTTTGCACAAGCCAAGTTGCGAGAAATGGCCGTGAAGCGTTCTCATGCGCACAAAGGCCCGTGGAGCTTCGGAAACCATGTTGGCAAGACGTGGCCAGGGTAATTATTGAAAAGAATTGTGGAACCGCGTTGTTCAATCACAGGTGTCTATGCGGTCATCACAACTTATCGGCATGGCTACAACACACTACCGTATGACACCAAGGTTGCTAATAATGGTGTGTTCGGGCTGTGCCTCCGTGTTGAATGCAAATCTTCCTGGTTTACCTGGGTAGTGTGCTGGAGTGCTGGGTAAATTTGGGAACATTGGGCCTGAGCTCAATCGTCGACATTACCGCTCGTCGCAAAGTTCGCAGTACTGCCTGCATACAACCTGGCTGCTTAGCCTCTTCTTGCGCATCCCATGTAGGCAGGGCCAAACCCCGTCGTATGTCATCTTTTTTTCCACGCGCCTTTTTGCGCCCAGGCGGCCTTTTACAGAGGACCAGCGGCCGCGGAGGCGCAGCTTGCACCCAGCGCGCGTCGGTGAGGACTTCATTGTCATCTTGGATCATCTTAGCCTAAACACATTCAGCAGGCGCCAGGTTTCCATAGTTTCTGCACCATTGAGTCTGCGGTACCTTGCGCCGGCCTGCGCCACGGCTTCCACAAACCTATGGCAGAAGGATGGAGCACATGCCGGGCGCTGGAAGCCAACTGGCACTTGCGGTGCCAGGTTTTTGGGGCAGGAGGATTGCGCCCGGATTAGGGCCGGTTCTGCACAGCGGCAGGCAGCTCGGCCCGTCCGGGTCGGCGAGGTCAAGGAACTCGTCCAGAGCCGGCGCATCAGAATGTGCTGGTCCCAACATGGCCCGGCCGCGCCTTAGCGCTGTGTGGCCGACGGCTTGCTGGACGGCCACGGAAAGCACGCTCCACCAGCGGCGGGCCCATGCAGCTTTTGCCGGGGCTCGCACTGCTGGCGGAGCTCTGTGCACACGGAAGGGCGACAAGGCGCCTGACCAGCCGTACTGCGTCGGTGTTCCACCGCCCACCCACCTCGCAACTGAGCACGCACAGGGCTCGCGCGCCTCCGGCAGCGAGCTCGGGGTAGGTGGCAGGACTGCTTAAAGGCGAGACGCGGAGGGAGGCCAGCGGCGCGGCACCATAGATGACGAGGTGATCGTAGGCGCGACACCCGGTGCGGTGGCGTTGACGAGCCATTGTTGGGGCAGCACGTGTCCCTCCGGTCCAACAGTCTCCTTGCACAACGCCCGCTCCACCAGCCTGGCTCGCCTTGCCAGGCGCGAAGCCGGGGGAACGCGAGTGCATGCTCACCGAATGCACCAACGCGGCGGCGGCCGCACTGTGCGTGGCTCCTCCTCACGATGTGTGCTTCGTTGCGGGCCAACCACGCTCTCTGCACCGTACCTCCACGTATCGTCCTATATGCCCAAGCGCACGACGAGGGGATCTGGGAGACGCTGCAGCTTTGCCTCGGCGGCGTTCCCCTCGACGTTCAAAGCACCAAACTTGGCAAAACCCTTCTGGCTGCTTTGGGGGGCCTTGGGCTTTTTTTTTCTCCGCAGAACGAAGCGGCGAGCATGTTAGTTCGCACTACTACGGCACAGCGACGGCAGGCCGTTCATGGCCCGACTTTGGCTAGCGCAGCGGCAGTCGGCTCGGCCCCGCAGCTGCGGCGAGGTCGAGCACACGGTCCAGCTTCGGGCCCGGGTGGCGCGGGCCACAGGCTTCCGAGCGAGCGCTGTGCTGCTCACGGCCTGCTGCACCGCTACGGCCAGAGCCGCCCACGACCGTCTCGTCCAGCGGAAGTGGCTGCTTCTCGCAGCGCGGTGGTGCGTGTTGGGCTCGGACGAGCCGCTGCGCTGCTCTCATTCCAGCGCCCCTACCTCGGAGCCGAGCACGAGGAGCCGTTGCGGGCCTCCGGAGCTGAGCTCGGGGTAGGCGGCTCGCTTGCGCCGCTCGGCAAACCCGCAGCATGGCGCCGTCGTGCACCGCGGTGCCGGGTTGTGGCTGGTCCGTTCGGGTCAGCACAAGGCTCCTCCCATCGGCGATGCGCCGTAGATCACTAAGTCAACACGGCGTCTGTCGTTTGGCGCAACACCAGGAGCAGTGGTGTGGGAGAGCCATTGCTGCGGGACTACCTGACCATCCGCCCCAACGGCTTCGTGCGCGACTCTCACCCAAGCCCGCTCGACGATCTTTGCTCGCCGAGCCAAGAGCCCA